ATTCAATGGTACTTTTTTTTGTCAACGATCTACACAAAATACTCTGTCAAAGTGGAAGAAAAATTCAAACATTTAATTAAAAAATATAATGAAAAATAAAACACTATCTTGATTACATAAGTATTCATCCCCCTGAGTCAATACATGTTACAATCACCTTTGGCAGCGATTACAGCTGTGAGACTTTCTGGGTAAGTCAAAGAGCTTTGCACACATGGATTGTACAATATTTGCACATTATTCTTTTTTAAATTGTTCAAGCTCTGTCAAGTTGGTTGTTGATCATTGCTAGACTGCCATTTTCAAGTCTTGCTATAGATTTTCATGCCGATTTTTAAGTCAACTGTAAGTAGGCCACTCAGGAACATTCAATGTTGTGTTGGTAAGCAACTCCAGTGTATATTTGGCCTTGTGTTTTAGGTTATTGTCCTGCTGAAAGGGGAATATGTCTCCCAGTGTCTGTTGGAAAGCAGACTGAACCAGGTTTTCCTCTAGGATTTTGCCTGTGTTTAGCTCTATTCCGTTAAAAGAAAACTCCCTAGTCCTTGCCGATGACAAGCATACCCATAACATGATGCAGCCTCCACCATGCTTGAAAATATGAAGTGGTTCTCAGTGATGTGTTGGATTTACCCCAAACATAACGCTTTGTATTCAGGACATAAAGTTAATTTCTTTGCCACATTTTTGCAGTTTTACTTTAGTGCCTTATTGCAAACCGTTTTGGAATATTTTTTTATCTGTACAGGCTTCCTTCTTTTCACTCTGTCATTTAGGTTAGTATTGTGGAGTAACTACAATGTTGTTGATACATCCTCAGTTTTCTCCTATCACAGCCATTCCACTCTGTAACTGTTTTAAAGTCACCATTGGCTTCATGGTGAAATCCCTGAGTGGTTTCCTTCCTCGCTGGCAACTGAGTTAGGAAGGACGCCTGTATCTTTGTAGTGACTGGGTGTATTAATGCACCATCCAAAGTGTAATTAATAACTTCACCATGCTCAAAGGGATATTCAATGTCTGCTTTTTTTTTTTTTTTTTAACCCATCTACCAATAGGTGCCTTTCTTTGCAAGGCATTGGAAAACCTCCCTGGTCTTTGTGGTTGAATCTGTGTTTGAAATGCACGGCTCGACTGAGGGACCTTACAGATAATTGTCTGTGTGGGGTACAGAGATGAGGTAGTCATTTAAAAATCACATGAAACACTATTATTGCACAGAGTGAGTACATGCAACTTATTATGTGACTTGTTAAGCACATTTTTACTCCTTAACTTATTTAGGCTTGCCATAACAAAAGGGTTGAATACATATTGACTCATTTTTTATAAATTTGTAAAATAAATTAATAATAATAATAATTCAATTTTTTATGTTATGGGGTAATGTGTGTAGGCCAGTGACATAAAATCTCAATTTAATCTATTTAAAATTCAGGCTGTAACACACCAAAGTCAAGGGATATGGAATAAGTCAAGGGTTATGAATACTTTCTGAAGGCACTGACAGAGATGATGAGTGGTCTGTGAGACTGATGGTGAAATATTATAGAGGAGTAGAAAATGATATCTGCAGAATTAGGGAAGCGTAGACCTCCACAGTTAAAATGTAATTGGCACTAAGGCCAACTCTCATTTGTTATTTACTAGAACATTAGACACGGAAGTGTAAAAGCTTATTTTTCAGTCACTCATGTTTGGCCCATTTGTTATCTTAAAGAGGGTCTGAAGGAAGAGACCTTATTCTTAGCTCAATCCAAAGGTTAAGGCTTATCTTGGAGTTTCTTGACATCATGGATTTCTGCTTCAACAGACAACTGGTTCCAAAACATTAGGTCGTGTGTTTCATGTAGACCCACTATATTCCCTAGCCCCTTGATCATGACTACAGTCGTGGTCAAACGTTTTGAGAATGACACAAATATTACTGCTGCCTCAGTTTTTATGATGGCAATTTACATATACTCCAGAATGTTATGAAGAGTGATCAGATGAATTGCAATTAATTGCAAAGTCCCTCTTTGCCATGAAAATGAACTTAATCCCCCCAAAAAAATTCAACTGCATTTCAGCCCTGCCACAAAAGGACCAGCTGACATCATGTCAGTGTTTCTCTCGTTAACACAGGTGAGAGTGTTGACGAGGACAAGGCTGGAGATCACTCTGTCATGCTGATTGAGTTAGAATAACAGACTGGAAGCTTTAAAAGGAGGGTGGTGCTTGAAATCATTGTTCTTCCTCTGTTAACCATGGTTACCTGCAAGGAAACACGCGCCGTCATCATTGCTTTGCACAAAAAGGGCTTCACAGGCAAGGGTATTGCTGCTAGTAAGATTGCACCTAAATCAACCATTTATCGGATCATCAAGAACTTCAAGGAGAGAGGTTCAATTGTTGTGAAGAAGGCTTCAGGGCGCCCAAGAAAGTCTATCAAGCGCCAGGACCGTCTCCTAAAGTTGATTCAGCTGCGGAATCGGGGCACCACCAGTGCAGAGCTTGCTCAGGAATGGCAGCAGGCAGGTGTGAGTGCATCTGTACGCACAGTGAGGCAAAGACTTTTGGAGGATGGCCTGGTGTCAAGAAGGGCAGCGAGGAAGCCACTTCTCTCCAGGAAAAACATCAGGGACAGACTGATATTCTGCAAAAGGTACAGGGATTGGACTGCTGAGGACTGGGGTAAAGTCATTTTCTCTGATGAATTCCCTTTCCGGTTGTTTGGGGCATCCAGAAAAAAGCTTGTACGGAGAAGACGAGGTGAGCGCTACCATCAGTCCTGTGTCATGCCAACAGTAAAGCATCCTGAGACCATTCATGTGTGGGGTTGCTTCTCAGCCAAGGGAGTGGGCTCACTCACAATTTTGCCTAAGAACACAGCCATGAATAAAGAATGGTACCAACACATCCTCCGAGAGCAACTTCTCCCAACCATCCAAGAACAGTTTGGTGACGAACAATGCCTTTTCCAGCATGATGGAGCACCTTGCCATAAGGCAAAAGTGATAACTAAGTGGCTCGGGGAACAAAACATCGACATTTTGGGTCCATGGCCAGGAAACTCCCCAGACCTTAATCCCATTGAGAACTTGTGGTCGATCCTCAAGAAGCGGGTGGACAAACAAAACCCCACAAATTCTGACAAACTCCAAGCATTGATTATGCAAGAATGGGCTGCCATCAGTCAGGATGTGGCCCAGAAGTTAATTGACAGCATGCCAGGGTGGATTGCAGAGGTGTTGAAAAAGAAGGGTCAACACTGCAAATAAACTTAATGTTATTGTCAATAAAAGCCTTTGACACTTATGGAATGCTTGTAATTATACTTCAGTATACCATAGTAACATCTGACAAAAATATCTCATAACACTGAAGCAGCAAACTTTGTGAAGACCAATACTTGTCATTCTCAACTTTTGACCACGACTGTACATTATACATAAGAGTCATTGGACAAAAGAGTCTTCTGTACGGGGAGTTTTGTTAAGAGCCTCTACGCTCAATCAGAACATTAACACGTGTCGCTTGCGGTACGGTTTTGGAAGCATGAGGACCTTATCAAATCAAATCAAATCACATTTTATTTGCCACATGCGCCGAATACAACAGGTGTAGACATTACCGTGAAATACTTACTTACAGCCCTTAACCAACAATGCATTAATTTTTTTATAAAAAAGTAAAATAAAACCAACAACAACAAAAGTGTTGAGGGGAAAAAAGAGCAGAAGTAAAATAACAGTAGGGAGGCTATATACAGGGGGGTACCGGTGCAGCGTCAATGTGCGGGGGCACCGGCTAGTTGAGGTAATATGTACATGTGGGTAGAGTTGAAGTGATTATGCATAAATAATTAACAGAGTAGCAGCAGCGTAAAAAGATGGGGTGGGGGGGGCAGTGCAAATAGTCCGGGTAGCCATAATTAGCTGTTCAGGAGTCTTATGGCTTGGGGGTAGAAGCTGTTGAGAAGCCTTTTGGACCTAGACTTGGCACTCCGGTACCGCTTGCCGCGCGGTAACAGAGATAACAGTCTATGACTAGGGTGGCTGGAGTCTTTGACAATTTTGAGGGCCTTCCTCTGACATCGCCTGGTATAGAGGTTCTGGATGGCAGGAAGCTTGGCCCCAGTGATGTACTGGGCCGTACGCACTACCCTCTGTAGTGCCTTGCGGTCGGAGGCCGAGCAGTTGCCATACCAGGCGGTGATGCAACCAGTAAGGATGCTCTCGATGGTGCAGCTGTAGATATCTTTCATGTCAATGAGAAATCATAAAATAAAAAAGGTTAAATTGATACACACCTTGATACAGCCATATCTCCATGCTTGTTTACGGAAAACAGGGAAGACAAGAGGCGACCACCTGTGCTAATTAGCATGCTCCGAACATCTGTGTGTAAGCGTAACTCGGAAAGTGTAGCAGAAGTGTAGTTTCATCAGATGGAGGCATCCATATAGCTGTATGGATCTGTGCCAACCTGCTTCAGTAAGTGTATATTTATTTATTTATTTGAAGGATTCTTTCTCGCTGATGAAAGATAAGGGCTATATGTTTTGAAAGCCATATCGCAAGCTATGATTATTGACGTTCCTAAACCTTAAAATACAGGAAAGTAAGCTTGTTTTACGATCTAAAGATCATCTAAACTTTTCAATCTTAATGAAGTGCTCACAGATTTAAGCAATCAATCCATGGCTACTCAGATACCTATGAGTAAAAGTATTGCTGTTGTTGATGACAACAGTATGAATCCATCTTTCCTAGCTACGCCATTCTAGATGGCTGTTACAGGATCTGACTGTTTACAGTCTAACTAATGCAAACACACTTTTTTACACTGAACACAGAGAATAGGGACTATGTTGAAATGGTAATATTAGTGCGTCAGGGCAAAACTCACCAATCTGGTGCTACTGGCTCAGTGACAGCTGGCTGCAAAGAAATCGCCTTAGTCACTTCTGTAGAACAGAACTGGATTTTCCAGAGAGAATTTCAGTTGTGTCTAGCATGAGTGTACAATCACAATACATTAGACGGTACATTAAATACACACATACATTACAGTAGTGCAATCAACTCAGTCTGAGTTGGATCACTAAACCCTACAAGACAATCAGAGCTATTACCATACTGCTATACCTTACCAAAAGGGCTATGCTAATACCTATCCTATTCTTTTAGATCCACAGTGATTGTTTGTAATGGAAAGCTGGTCATATGACTTGTGCCACTTCACCTGAAATGCCTCCTGTTTACTGTTTAACCCACTATACTGTCAGGATTGATATAGATTCAACCTCTACAGAGTAAATGCCAATACAGATTGCTATTATATATATATATATATATATATATATATATATATATATATATACTGGTATGATACACCGTGAATGTTGAATTACAGGATGTGACCTGTTAAGTTTCTGAAACACATTTTTGTCTTGGCTTAATTGATTTGACGGCTTGTGGTTCAGCGGCCATATAGGGGCTGAATAAGTGGGAAGTGTGTTGTGCTCCATCTTTCAACACACGTCTTAAGCAGTCTTTCTTACCTCCCTTTCAAGTTGGGAGTTTTCTCTCTCACATACCCAATCTCTCTCTCAACCAAATGTTTCTGTACAGTACTTCTGTCTTTCTCTTCCTTTGTCTCATTCACCTCTTGTCTCATGTAGTTTTCAGTTAAATATTCTCAATGTCTGAAACCTGCAGTCTGTGTAGAGGGCATCAACAGAAGGTGACACATTCGCATTAATGACCTGTTGGTATTTTCCCAAATGTTCCTTTTGTCAACCTCTTGACCTAAACTATTGTCTGAGCTCAACAAGGGGGAAAAGGGAAGTAAAATTTAGTGAGGGTAATTTGTCCTACTATCCATCTCTTACATGATAACGATCACTGAATAATTCCATCCAACCTTCCTTTGTCTTTCTAATCATAAACATACGGATAAGTGAAAGTAACTTAGTGAAAAGATTTGGGGGCTTTCCACCATGCTAACACGCTACTTTCCATCCTCTCTTATCGGTCCTTCACTCCCCCTCTCTTCCTTCCTCTGCAGGTGCCAAGATGTCCAATGAGGTTGATGCGGGGGACCATGGGCCAATGAAACTGCTCACTACCATGTTCTCGTCCCTCCAGGAGAAGTTCCACAGAGACCGTGAGTGTCTTGTATAGAAGTGGGTCTGTTCCATTTTGGGCCTATAGTGACTTGGGGTTAGGGAAAATGGCTTTGGGTCAAAATGGAACTGAGCCAAAGGGTGTATAGAACAGAAATTATACATTATTGGAAAAGGTTAAATGCAGGACTCTAAGCAAACAGACAGTAAGAGGCAATCATGGATCATGCTGATCATGAACTAAACATGCCTGTCAATCACACAAAAAGATTTGGCCTCGACTGCTTTATTCTCCTCTCACTCAGGCAAACCCATTGGATTCATAAAAAAAAAGGATGTCTCTTATAAACACAGAAACACTTATGAAACAGGCACATTTTCCTCTCCGTAAATTCACTTATTCTGGAGATATGTGAGGAATTCAGATTTTTAAGAGAGAGAACCAGCCTAACGCTTGACCATGCTGGACATTTTTCTCACATAGATGTTGTTTTTTAAAATACAGCTCCTGGTATTTGACAGTGTGCATATCATCTATTGTTGCAAGTCATTAGGTGTGTAGGTGACCATCTAGCCGTACTGGTTCTATTGGGCCTTAATTGGCATTGTTGCATTGTAAATGGTTTCCATTCTTCCCACGGAGTCACGTGGTAGAGGAAGGTACTTGCCTGTCTTTCAAAAAGTGTCACCGTCACACCTGACTCTCACTGGTGGAGGGTAACAAGTAACAAGCGGAATTGTCACATTGCCTAACAAATCCTCACATTGTCTAACAAAGTGTGAGCGTGGCCAATGGCACAGTTTTAGAGGCCTCCAATGTTTCATTTTAATTTCCTGCAATTTTACACATTTTGTCTTCGTGCTGAGAGAATTTGTTTTAGTTTTAAAGTGAATTATCTGAAATTCTACACATTTTGCCATGGCTCATACCATGTTAAAAAATCAATGGAGACCCCATGCCATGACATTTTGGGAATTTTAGATACTCCCGACTGTCTTTCTTTAAATATATCTTTTTGGGGGAGTGGCGGCAACGATTTAGCAGCACACTCCCATCGCTGCTAACTGAAGATAGGGGAAACACTGCTGTGGCACCTACCCATCTGGCCACCACCACCTGTCTATACGGCAGACAGCCTTGTGGCAATGTGGCACCTACCCATCTGGCCACCACCACCTGTCTAGAAGGCAAACAGCCTTGTGGCAATGTGGCACTTCATACACACCAGTCATGAGGAAATGAATAGTAAACAAACAAACATTTGACCAACTGGGGACATTTTGTTAGTCCCCACAAGGTCAAATGCTATTTCTAGGGGAGTTAGGGTTAGTTTTACGGTTAGGGAAAATAGGATTTTGAATGAGACTGAATTGTGTCCCCACAAGGTTAGTTATACAAGACTGTCTGTGTGTGCACATCCGTGTGTTTCTCCTCTTGTAGTTTCAGTTGTTTAACACACTGTTCCTCTTAGTTCTTTTAGCTCTGTGGTTTTCTTTGAGTATTGTGTGTTTAAAATCTGTAGAGCATTGTTTAGGCATCCTCTTGAACTACACTGAACAAAAATATAAATGCAAAAGATTTTACTGAGTTACTGTTCATATAAGGAAATCAGTCAATTTAAATAAATTAGGCCCTAATTTATGTATTTCACATGACTGGGAATACAGATGCCTTAAAAAAAAGGTATGGGCATGGATCAGAAAATCAGTCAGTATCTGGTGTGCCCACCATTTGCCTCATGCAGCACAACACATCTCCTTCGCCTAGAGTTGATCAGGTGGCGATTGTGGAATGTTGTCCCACACCTCTTCAATGGCTGTACGAAGTTGCTGGATATTGGCGGGAACTGGAACACGCTGTCGTACACGTCGATACAGAGCATCTCAAACTGGTGAGTATGCAGGCCATGGAAGAACTGGGACATTTTCAGATTCCAGGAATTGTCAGATCCTTGCGACATGGGGCTGTGCATTATCATGCTGAAACATGAGGTGATGGCGGTGGATGAATGGCACGACAATGGGCCTCAGGATCTCGTCACAGTATCTCTGTGCATTCAAATTGCCATTGATAAGATGCAATTGTGTTTGTTGTCCGTAGCTTATGCCTGCCCATACCATAACACCACCGCCATCATTGGGTATTCTGTTCACAACGTTGACATCAGCAAACCTCTCGCCCACACGACGCCATACACACGATCTGCCCGGTACAGTTGAAACCAGGATTAATCCGTGAAGAGCACACTTCTCCAGTGTGCCAGTAGCCATCGAAGGTGAGCATTTTCCCACTGAAGTCGGTTACGACGCCAAACTATAGACAGGTCAAGACCCTGGTGAGGACAACAAGCATGCAGATGAGCTTCCCTGAGACTGTTACAGACCGTTTGTGCAGAAAGTCATCTGTTGTGCAAACCCACAGTTTCATCAGCTGTCCGGGTGGCTGGTCTCAGATGATCCCGCAGGTGAAGAAGCCGGATGTGGAGGTACTGGGCTGGCGTGGTTACACGTGGTCTGCGGTTGTGAGGCCGGTTGGACGTACTGCCAAATTCTCAAAAATGACGTTGGAGGCAGCTTATGGTAGAGAAATGAACATTAAATTATCTGGTATCAGCTCTGGTGGACATTCCTGCAGTCAGCATGCCAATTGCACGCTCCCCCAAAACTTTAGACATCTGTGGCATTGTGTTGTGTGACAAAACTGCACATTTTAGAATGGCCTTTTATTGTCCCCAGCACAAGGTGCACCTGTGTAATGATCATGCTGTTTAATCAGCTTCTTGATATGCCACACCTGTCAGGTGAATGGATTATCTTGGCAAATGACAAATGCTCACTAGCAGGGATGTAAACAAATTTGTGCACAAAATTAGAGAGAAATAGGCATTTGGAAAATTTCTGGGATCTTTTATTTCAGCTCATGAAACATGGGAGCAACACTTTACATTTTGTGTTTATATTTTTGTTCAGTATATTTACACACTGCTGAATCCTAACTTAAATATATTTTTGTTGTTTTTTAATTCTTCCACGGACATCAATGCATGATTTACAGTTATTTGGCCTACTTGACTAGCTGCATACCAAAGTAAAATCTTCAGTTCCAAGCCATGTGATGTTTGGAATGAAAACCTACCTTGAAGTCCAAGCCACAGTTAGTTAGTTGATGGTATTGAGGTTTATGAATAATTGTCTTCACTGCTGTCCCCCTCTGTCTGTCTGTCTTTTAGGGAGTGATAGGGATTCGACCCTGCCTCGGCCTACAGCCCCAGCCCTCGCGGTGACCTCAGCCCAGGACCAGAGTCACCTCTTCTTTGAGTACCTGGTGGTGGTCAGCCTACGGAAGAAGAGGGGGGAAGGAACGTACGAACCCCAGATCACATATCAGTTCCCCAAGGTCAGACCGACATACATACACACAGTGAGAAAGTATTTGTGCTAATAAATTAGCAGTAATCTAAAATGTGTGTGTTGTAGCTAGCTAATATGAGGCGCTCACAGAGAGAGGAAGAAGAGAAGTCCCTGAAAGCAATCCTCCTTTTCTGTTTCCCAGAGGGGGTCAACTGGGCCCCCCTCACTGAATACACCAGGTACGTGCCACCTCCCCTCTCTCTCTCTCGTGCACATGCAATCACGCCTAGGTACAAAGATCTACTTTCTTCATCCTGCCACATCCCCACCGCTGTGCAGAGTGTTCTCAGGATGTGGCAAAGTGTTTCCGGCGCACTTTACACAAACCGTTCTATTTACACGCAGAACAAATCTGCTTAGCGTGTGTCTGTATGCAATGTTTGTTTGCGAAGACTGCAAAGCATCATCTCTTGCAAACAACCTAGCTTTGACCAGGGCCGGTGTTATGGGCGGCCCTTAGGGGGCCTTGCCAGCCCTAATGTACCTCCTGGCCCGTCCAAATAAAATATTGATCAGAGCAAGTGAAACAGCGCTTGTCTCAGTATGTGTAGCCCATGTATCTGATGCTGTCTGGACCAGAAGAGTATGGCATGACATAGATACATGGGGCTACATACTGTAAAACCGAAGGGTGCTGTTTCAGTCGATCAGATGCTATTTTAGACGTGCGATGGTAACCTCTTTTTTTTTAAGTGAGTTGTTTTACAATCAGATGAAAACATCATGACTGGTTGTATTCATGCCACATTAAAAGGTAGGCTAATACATTTTTACATTTTAAATTACATGTCACTATAAAACCCACAATAGAACCGCTAAAGCCGTCATTTGGACTGCCCATGAATTTAAAACATTTATTACTGTGCCATTTTTAAAGTCATGCCCCCCTCTGTGTTGTAAACAGTTTTAGGAGGGCATGTCATTTTTTTAATATGGTTTTTCCTGTTTCCCCTCCTTCGCTCGACAGTAGCGCCTGCTCCCCTCCTTTTTCCGATAGTTGAAGATGTGCCCAGTTGAAATTAACCCGATAATTGCCTCGAAAGTGAACCTAAACTATACCGAAATTAATTTCACACACAGGCTATAATAACAAATTAAGTAGGCTAAAGTATGATGGGGGAGAATGGATGAGTTGATGAGCGAGGGGAAGTGAACGATGCATAATTATGTAATCACAAATTGTGAATGAAGAACAGTGCATGCTATTTTATTGATCTATTCTAATTATAATCTCAATGGTATGTACTCTATCAGTCTACTCTTGCCTACTTGGAACTTGGAGTACACAGTGAGAGCGTGCGTAATTTACAATGGCTAGAAAACCAAGACGAATGGATGCACTCATTAGTGTTGCTACAAAATCTTAATGAAAACGACTCCGATGGTGGGGAAGAAATGAATCATGATGACATCTGAGAATTCTTCTGATTCTGAACCTACACCTCTGAGGACTAAGTGTAAAAAGGTGTAATCTATCAACATGTGTTCTATTCTCTCTCTCTCTGCAGTGAGACATTCTCCTTCGTGTTGACAGAGGTTGACGGCAGTAGGAGGAATGGCTACTGCAGGAGGTTACTGGTAAATGATCCATGGTGTCATTCTGTTCATAGGACATGAGAATTACTTTCAGGTGTTTAGTTTCTCATGACATGTTGTTGTTTCCTGCAGCCCAGTGGCAAAGGGGCGCGGCCTCCGGAGGCCTATTGCATCATCAGCCGGGTGGCCTGCTTTGGACTCTTCTCCAAGGTTAGCGACATAACACATTATATATTCACTCACTCACTGAGTTTTTTAAAATTTTATTATTATTAACCCATCTTTAATCCCATACCTCACCCACTCAGCCCATTCCACCTATCACCGTAGACCACCCTCGTTTGGTTTCCATGTGCCATATATTTTGTGCTGTGATGTTTTACATGAATTTTCAACCTTTCTAATCGCATAGTATCCACAGATTGTGAGGTAAAGATAAAAAACTTTCCTGCGAGTAGTATTATATTATTGATTGACTATGGCTTTCCAAATCGCCCAACACGGCCATTTGAAAGGTTAATTCTAAGTGAATGTTGTGATTTTGTTTTTAACCATTCCTGAACCTGTGACCAGAAACAAGCTACATAGAGGCAATACCAAAATAAATTATCTAGTGATTCTGTTTCTTCGCAGCAAAATCTACAGAGCTGAGATTGTTGTATGTCCCATATACAGTGCATTCGGAAAAAACAAATATATTACATTAACATAAGTATTCAGAACCTTTTACTCAGTACTTTGTTGATGCACCTTAGGAAGCGATTACAGCCTCGTGTCTTCTTGGGTATGACGCTACAAGCTTGGCACACCTGTATTTGGGGAGTTTCTCACATTCTTCTCTGCAGATCCTCTCAGGCTCTGTCAGGTTGGATGGGGGAGCGTCGCTGCACAGCTATTTTCAGGTCTCTCCAGAGATGTTCAAGTCTGGGCTCTGGCTGGGCCACTCAAGGACATTTAGAGACTTTTCCCGAAGCCACTCTTGCGTTGTCTTGGCTGTGTGCTTAGGGTCATTGTCCTGATGGAAGGTGAACCTTCGACACAGTCTGAGGTCCTGAGCGCTCTGGAGCAGGTTTTCATCAAGGATCTCCCTGTACTTTGCTCCGTTCATCTTTCCCTCGATCCTGACTAGTCTACCAGTTCCTGCCGCTGAAAAACATCCCCACAGCATGATGCTGCCACCACCATGCATCACCGTAGGGATGGTGCCAGGTTTTCTCTAGACGTGACGCTTGGCATTCCGGCCAAAGAGTTCAATCTTGGTTTCATCAGACCAGAGAAACTTGGTCCTCTGTAGCTCAATTGGTAGAGCATGGCGCTTGTAACGCCAGGGTAGTAGGTACGATCCCCGGGACCACCCATACGTAAAAATTTATGCACACGACTGTACGTCGCTTTGGATAAAAGCGTCTGCTAAATGGTATATTATATTATTATGGTCTGAGAGTCTAGGTGCCTTTTTGGCAAACTCCAAGCGGGCTGTCATGTGCCTTTTACTGAGGAGTGGCTTCTGTCTGGCCACTCTCCCATAAAGGCCTGATTGGTGGAATGCTGCAGAGATGGTTGTCCTTCTGGAAGGTTCTCCCATCTCCACAGAGGAACTCTGGAGCTCTGTCAGAGTGACCATCGGGTTCTTGGTCACCTCCCTGACCATGGCCCTTCTCCCTTGATTGCTAAGTTTGGCCGGGTGGCCCGCTCTTGGTGGTTCCAAACTTCTTCCATTTAAGATTGATGGAGGCCACTGTGTTCTTGGAGACATTCAATGCTGCAGACATTTTTTGGTAACCTTTCTCAGATCTGTGCCTCGATACAATCCTGTCTCGTAGCTCTGCAGACAATTCCTTCGACCACATGGCTTGGTTTTTGCTCTGACATGCACTGTCAACTGTGGGACCTTTTTATATAGACAGGTGTGTGCCTTTCCAAGTCATGTCCAATCAATTGAATTTACCACTTGTGGACTCCAATCAAGTTGTAGAAACATCTCAAGGATGATCAATGGAAACAGGATGCACCTGAGCTCAATTTCGAGTCTCATAGCAAAGGGTCTGAATACTTATGTAAATAAGGTGTGTGTGTATATATATATTTATTATTTATTTTTTATTATACATTTGCTAAAATTTCTAAACCTGTTTTCGCTTTGTCATTATGGGGTATTGTGTGTAGAATGATGAGGAAAAATAATTGAATCAATTTTAGGATAAAGCTGTAACGTAGCAAAATGTGGGAAAAGTCAAGGGGTCTGAATATTTTCTGAATGCACTGTATATAGCATTCTGGTGGTGGCAAGAATTTTGTATAATTTAAATTCAACTCAGTGTTTTTTTTTGTATCAGTTCATATACCATGTGCCATGGAATCGGTACATCGAAAATCTCTTCCCATTTATTTTGCAACCTGTATTGTGCAGCTGTCAACATCTTTGTCCTCACATGAAACTGGTATATTTTTCTATTTATGCCAATCCTTTTCAGCCAATTTGTATATTTTATTATATGGCAGATAAACAAGTTCTCTACCCACTCCCTCATCCACTTGCCTCCATTTTTGCGGTAATACTGCAATCAGTTGGTTGTAACTTTGGATTGAGCAGACATTCCCATATATTTTTGATAGCTGCATATGTGACATAATTCCACCGTTTCTATTCATAATATCATTAATAAATATAATACCAAAAAATAATGTTAAAGATTTTTTATTTTTTATTAATCAGTACAGTGAGGGGAAAAAAGTAATTGATCCCCTGCTGATTTGGTACGTTTGCCCACTGACAAAGAAATGAACAGTCTATAATTTTTAGAGTGTGCTCCTAATCTCAGCTCGTTATCTGTATAAAAGACACCTGGGAGCCAGAAATCTTTCTGATTGAGAGGGGTCAACTACTTATTTCCCTCATTAAAATGCAAATCAATTTATATCATTTTTGACATGCGTTTTTCTGGATTTTGTTGTTGTTATTCTGTCTCTCACTGTTCAAATAAACCTACCATTAAAATTATAGACTGATCATTTCTTTGTCAGTGGGCAAACGTACAAAATCAGCAGGGAATCAAATACTTTTTTCCCCTCACTGTATATTTGAGTTTAACCATAATATTTGTTGTAATATTTGATCTATCTTTTCTGGAGGATAAAATTGAAATTGTAACCAGCTTTGTATGGCTTGTTTAAGAAAGGGCGATACTTTGAAAAGTTTCATTTTCAATTAGTCGGAAATGAGAAGTTGTAATCTGTATAAAAGGCAAAAACGCCATTTAAAAAAAACTAAGGATGAGCCTTTCTTAATAATCTACTTGAGAACCAGTTTGGGTTTAAGTATAACTTATGTACAGTGGCTTGCAAAAGTATTCACCCCCCTTGGCATTCTTCCTATTTTGTTGCCTTACAACCTGGAATTAAAATAGATTTTTGGGGGGGTTTGTATCATTTGATTTACACAACATGCCTACCACTTTGAAGATGGAAAATCTTTTTTATTGTGAAACAAACAAGAAATCAGACAAAAAAACAACTTGAGCGTGCAAAACTATTCACCCCCCCCCCAAAGTTAATACTTTGTAGAGCCACCTTTTGCAGCAATTACCCAAAGAGACTTGCAGCTGTATGTCTCTATAACCTTGGCACATCTAGCCACTGGGATTTTTGCCCATTCTTCAAGGCAAAACTGCTCCAGCTCCTTCAAGTTGGATGGGTTCCGCTGGTGTACAGCAATCTTTAAGTCATACCACAGATTCTCAATTGGATTGAGGTCTGGGCTTTGACTAGGCCATTCCAAGACATTTAAATGTTTCCCCTTAAACTACTCGAGTGTTGCTTTAGCAGTATGCTGCTGGAAGGTGAACCTCCGTCCCAGTCTCAAATCTCTGGAAGACTGAAACAGGTTTCCCTCAAGAATTTCCCTGTATTTAGCGTCATCCATCATTCCTTCAATTCTGACCAGTTTCCCAGTCCCTGCCGATGGAAAAACATCCTCACAGCATGATACTGCCACCACCATGCTTCACTGTGGGGATGGTGTTCTCGGGGTGATGAGAGGTGTTGGGTTTGCGCCAGATATAGCGTTTTCCTTGATGGCCAAAAGGCTCAATTTTAGTCTCATCTGACCAGCGTACCTTCTTCCATGTTTGGGGAGTCTCCCACATGCCTTTTGGCGAACACCAAACGTGTTTGCTTATTTTTTTCTTCAAGCAATGGCTTTTTTCTTGCCACTCTTCCTGAAGCCCAGTTCTTTGGAGTGTACGGCTTAAAGGGGTCCTATGGACAGATACTCCAATCTCCTCTGTGGAGCTTTTCAGCACCTTCAGGGTTATCTTTGGTCTCTTTGTTGCCTCTCTGATGAATGCCCTCCTTGCCTGGTCCGTGAGTTTTGATGGGCGGCCCTCTCTTGGCAGGTTTGTTGTGGTGCCATATTCTATCCATTTTTTAAATAATAGATTTAATGGTGCTCCATGGGCTGTTAAAAGTTTCTGATATTTTTTTATAACCCAACCCTGATCTGTACTTCTCCACAACTTTGTCCCTGACCTGTTTGGAGAGCTCCTTGGTCTTCTTGGTGCCCCTTGCTTAGTGGTGTTGCAGACTCTGGGGCCTTTCAAAACAGGTGTGTGGTATGTATGTATACTGAGATCATGTGACACTTAGATTGCACACAGGTGGACTTTAACTAATTATGTGACTTCTGAAGGTAATTGGTTGCACCTGATCTTATTTAGGGGCTTCATAGCAAAGGGGGTGAATACAGTTATTTTTTTCATTTCACTTCACCAATTGTGTATGTCCATTACATGAGATCCAAATAAAAATGAATTTAAATTACAGGTTGTAATGCAACAAAATAGGAAAAATGCCAAGGAGGATGAATACTTTTGCAAGGCACTGTAAGAGATTCACCGAAATTAAAGTAGTCCAGGCATTTATATATAAATTCTAGTTGTACTTTGTCAAACGCCTTTTCAAAATCTGCTATGAAGACCAGGGCTGGTGTCTTTTGACATTTCATAATGTTCAATTGTTTCAAGTAATAATTGTATATTATCTCCAATATATTGTCCATGGAAAAAACCTGTCTGATCAGGATGAACAATATATGGTAAAATATTTTTATTCTGTGCTATGCATTTCGCCAAGGTTTTCGTATAACAACATTTGAAGTCTAAGAGGCCTCCAGTTTTTGTTTTTTATGGACTGGATCTTTATACTTACCACTTGTGTCCTGTTTCAGTAGTAATTAAATCAGACATTCTTGTTGAGTACCTGAAAGTCTACCATTTTATAGGAGTAGTTAAAACATGCTAATAATGGATATTTGAGTACTTCTTAAAAGGTCTGATATACCTCTACTGGTATACCATCAAGCCCTGGTGTTTTTCCAGACTGAAAGGATTTAATTGACTCAAGAAGTTCCTACTCTGTAAGTTGGCCTTCACACAGGTCTTTCTGTACATTTTGTTAATAATAATAATAATCCTTACAGTTAACATCCATTAATTGGAGATGGAGGAGACTGATACAAAAACATATGCTTAAAATATTTTGCGTCCTCTTTCAAAATATTATTTGGTGAATCATGGATGACTCCGTCATTTGTAACGAGTTTCTGTAAATTCTTTTTTGGTAGCATTTCTATGTTGAAGATTCAAGAAAAATGCAGTGCATTTTTCACAATTTTCCTTCCAAATCGCTTTATTTCTGTAATAAATGTAATATTTATTGATAAAGTTCCTCCAATTATTTTTGTTTTTCTTCTAACTTATTTTTTGCCTCTATAGAACTGTTTTTATTGCTATCTACCTGTGCTGTTCTTTCCTCAATTTGCTTTTAGTCTAATCTCTTTTGACCTAAACTGCTTTTGTTTTAATGATGAGTGTTGTATTGAATGGCCTCTAAAAGTACATTTTGAAAGTGTCCAATACAATAAGGGATCTGCCTATGTTGTGCAGAAAAAAGTCAATTATTAATTATTTTGTCTTAGTTAAGAACAAATTGTCATCCGGAATGTTTTGATTAAATTTCCAATATCCCTGTCCACGTGGAAATTCTGTAAGAGTTATGTGAAGGCCAATTTAGATGATGGTCTGATCGGATTCTGTCTCCTATTAATACTTTTTAAACTTTTGATGCCAGCAAAAATGAAACAAGGAAGTAATCAAGACGGCTGGCTTGATTAAGCCTCCTCCATGCACAGTACCAGGCAAAGGTTTGGACACCTACTCATTCAAGGGTTTTTCTTTATTTTTACTATTTTCTACATTGTAGAATAATAGTGAAGAGATCAAACTATGAAATAACACATATGGACTCATGTAGTAACCAAAAAAGTGTTAAACAAATCAAAATATATTTTAGATTCTTCAAAGTAGCCACCCTTTCCCTTGATGACAGCTTTGCACACTCTTGGCATTCTCTCAACCAGCTTCATGAGGTAGTCACCTGGAATCCATTTCAATTAACAGGTGTGCCTTTAAAAGTTAATTTGTGGAATTGCTTTCCTTCTTAATGCGTTTGAGCCAATCAGTTGTGTTGTGACAAGGTAGGGGAGGTATACAGAAGATAGCCCTATTTAGTAAAATAACAAATCCATATTATGGCAAGAACAGCTCAAATAAGCAAAGAGAAACGACAGTCCATCATTACTTTAAGACAAGAAGGTCAGTCAATCCTGAAAATTTCAAGAACATTGAAAGTGGAAGACCCAGAGTTACCTCTGCTGCACAGGATAAGTTCATTAGAGTTACCAGCCTCAGAAATTGCAGCCCAAATAAATGCTTCACAGAGTTCAAGTAACAGACACATCTCAACATCAACTGTTCAGAGGGGACTGTGTGAATCAGGCCTTCATGGTTGAATTGCTGCAAAGAAACCACTACTAAAGGACACCAATAAGAAGACTTGTTTGGGCCAAGAAACATGAGAAATGGACATTAGACCGGTGGAAATTTGTCCTTTGGTCTGGAGTCCAAATTTGAGATTTTTGGTTCCACCCGCCGTATCTTTGTGAGACGCGGTGTGGGCGAACGGATGATCTCCGCATGTGTATTTCCCACCGTAAAGCATGGAGGAGGAGGTGTTATGGTGTGGGGGTGCTTTGCTGGTGATACTGTCTGTGATTTATTTAGAGTTCAAGGCACACTTAACCAGCATAGCTACCACAGCATTCTGCAGCGATACGCCATCCCATCTGGTTTGGGCTTAGTGGGACTATCATTTGTTTTTCAACAGGACAATGACCCAACACACCACCAGGCTGTGTAAGGGCTATTTTACCAAGAAGGAGAGGGATGGAGCGCTGCATCAGATGACCTGGCCTCCACAATCCCCCGACCTCAACGAAATTGAGATGGTTTGGGATGAGTTGGACCGCAGAGTGAAGGAAAAGCAGCCTACAAGTGCTCAGCATACAGTTGAAGTTGGAAGTTTACATAGACTTAGGTTGGAGTCATTAACTCGTTTTTCAACCACTTCACAAATTTCTTGTTAACAAACCTATAGTTTTGGCAAGTGGGTTAGGACATCTACTTTGTGCATGACATAAGTAATTTTTCCAACAATTGTTTACAGTGGGTCAGAAGTTTACATACACTAAGTTGACTGTGCCTTTGTTAAACAGCTTGGGAAATTCTAGAAAATGATGTCATGGCTTTAGAAGCTTCTGATAGGCTAATTGAAATAATTTGAGTCAATTGGAGGTGTACCTGTGGATTTATTTCAAGGCCTACCTTCAAACTCAGTGACTCTTTGCATGACATCATGGGAAAATCAAAAGAAATCAGCAAAGACCTCAGAGTCTGGTTCATCCTTGGGAGCAATTTCCAAACGCCTGAAGGTACCACGTTCATCTGTACAAACAATAGTACGCAAGTATAAACACCATGGTACCACGCAGCCGTCATACCGCTCAGGAAGGAGACGCGTTCTGTCTCCTAAAGATTGACGTACTTCGGTACGAAAAGTGCAAATCAATCCCAGAACAACAGCAAGGGACCTTGTGACGATGCTGGAGGAAACAGGTACAAAAGTATCTATATCCACAGTAAAACGAGTCCTATATCGACATAACCTGAAAGGCCGCTCAGCAAGGAAGAAGCCACTGCTCCAAAACCGCCATAAAAAAGCCAGACTACGGTTTTCAACTTCACATGGGGACAAAGATCGTACTTTTTGGAGAAATGTCCTCTGGTCTGATGAAACAAAATAGAACTGTTTGGCCATAATGACCATCGTTATGTTTGGAGGAAAAAGGGGGACGCTTGCAAGCCGAAGAACACCATCCCAACCGTGAAGCACACGGGTGGCAGTATCATGCTGTGGGGGTGCTTTGCTGCAGGAGGGACTGGTGCACTTCACAAAATAGATGGCATCATGAGGAAGGAAAAATATGTGGATATATTGAAGCAACATCTCAAGACATCAGTCAGGAAGTTAAAGCTTGGTCGCAAATGGGTCTTCCAAATGGACAATGTCCCCAAGCATACTTCCAAAGTTGTGACAAAATGGCTTAAGGACAACAAAGTGAAGGTATTGGAGTGGCCATCACAAAGCCCTGACCTCAATCCTATAGAACATTTGTGGGCAGAACTGAAAAAGCGTGTGCGAGCAAGGAGGCCTACAAACCTGACTCAGTTACACCAGCTCTGTCAGGAGGAATGAGCCAAAATCCACCCAACCTATTGTGGGAAGCTTGTGGAAGGCTACCTGAAATGTTTGACCCAAGTTAAACAATTTAAAGGCAATGCTACCAAATGCTAATTGAGTGTATGTAAACTTCTGACCCACTGGGAATGTGATGAAATAAATAAAAGCTGAAATAAATAATTCTCTCTACTATAATTCTGACATTTCACATTCTTAAAATAAAGTGGTGATCCTAAGACAGGGAATTTTTACTAGGATTAAATGTCAGGAATTGTGAAAAACTGAGTTTAAATGTATTTGGCTAAGATGTATGTAAACTTCCGACTTCAACTGTATGTGGGAACTCCTTCAAGACTGTTGGAAAAGCATTCCAGGTGAAGCTGGTTGAGAAAATGCCCAGAGTGTGCAAAGCTGTCAAGGCGGCAAATTGTCTATTTGAAGAATCTCATGTAAAATATATTTTGATTTGTTTAACACTTTTTTGGTTACTACATGATTCCATATGTGTTATTTCATAGTTTTGATGTCTTCACTATTATTCTACAATGTAGAAAATAGTTAAAATAAAGAAAATCCCTTGAATGAGTAGGTGTTCTAAAACGTTTGACCGGTAGTGTATATTTTAGAAGTGTAGATCATAATTATTTGGCCCATTATAGATTAATTAACCAGATCTGTTTTTGCTCCAATAGCATATTTAAAAGGATCCGTCTTCCTTGAGGATCTGTTTGCACAATAGGATCAAAATTGTTGTTTATTGATATAATCACCCCACGAGGTGAGATCTTGCATGGAGCCCCAGACCGAGGGTGATTGACCGTCATCTTGAACTTCTTCAATTTTCTAATAATTGCGCCAACAGTTGTTGCCTTCTCACCAAGCTGCTTACCTATTGTCCTGTAGCCCATCCCAGCCTTGTGCAGGTCTACAATTTTATCCCTGATGTCCTTACACAGCTCTCTGGTCTTGGCCATTGTGGAGAGGTTGGAGTCTGTTTGATTGAGTGTGTGGACAGGTGTCTTTTATACAGGTAACGAGTTCAAACAGGTGCAGTTAATACAGGTAATGAGTGGAGAACAGGAGGGCTTCTTAAAGAAAAACTGTGTGTGCGAGGGGGAAGAAAACAGAAAATAAAGACATGCAGTACTGACAATCTAGAGCGAGTAAACCTGTAAAACCAACCTTCTCTCTACCCACATACATTTTTGTTTTTATTCCAGGGTCGTTGCCCTATCACTTCGGCTGCTTTACACATAGGCCTGTATCATTAGGATCGAGAATATAAGGGTAGCGCATATAGCTTATGTATAAATATAATATACTTCTCGCTTAGAGAAGTGCTTCCATAAGCCAGTTATGTGTTGGCTCTACCGTTTAACTTTAATCAGTTTAACCCAGTGTTAACAAGTCAGCCGTACACTAATATAGGCAACAACCCTGTTGACAATAACCAATCCATTTGCCGGTGTGTATCAGAACAATAATATGTCCTTTACATTTTTAATATTGAGATCTATTTTTTTTTATGTAAAAAGATAATGACACATTATTATTATTATTATTATAAGATTGTATAGGCGTATCTTAAATTCTATTTGTTCCGATGCACATCCGTCAAAAAGGGCTGCACTATATAACAGCTTTTAAGTCATAATATACCCTGATCTCTACAATTGGGCCATATTATATAAAACTCAAAAAACAACCTTGGTTTTTTATTTTACTGCCTGTGCAGTCTTCAAATTTAAATAAATAAACAAACAAAAAGAAAAACGGTCAGCCTTATCCATCTTCGTCTTCCCCTAGATCCAAACCAGATTTTTAAGTTCAAAGTTCCATATTGCCTAAGTAAAAAAAAAGATAAGTCCATCATACACATTTCGCCTTTCCATAAGTCCAACCTTATTTTAAGTCCACATAGTCCACGGTTCTGTACTGCATGAATAGAAATACACAAAAAAATACAATAATTCATAATATAAATAATAAAAAATAATCCATAATTGTAATGTGGTGCAATGTGTATCGAGGACTACTTCAGCAGGAAGTAGCTATCACTCACAGCCACGTTGTAATCTTCGAGTCCTTGAACACTTGATTTTTTCATATACAATTTTTTTATGTACTAGTTATCGACCACTAGACAACATTCTGCTTCTCTGCTAGGAGCCTTTTGAAAGTGGGGTACAGGGCACGTCTTCTCTCCACTATTTCATGGGGAAATTGTTCATTATTAGTGAACGGGGTGTTCTTCAGCTCCCTATGCTGTTGTAGCAAGGCAATCTTCACTGAGGGTTGTTAAACTGATGTCCTCGTTCCACGAGGGTGACTTCTACCCCTTACAGTATATTATCTATTCTGAGGCAGGCAAGGAGTGTGTTTGTTGTCAGCAGTGTGTCTGTGTATGTATGTGGACGTCTGAGTGTGTCTACTTGAGTGCACTGCGAAAACTGTGTGTCAGACGAAGAGAGAAACGGGCTGGTCTAGTTCTGCCCTCGTAACCCTTGGCTCAGACGTAATTACGTCATTCCCTACTACTTCATTAGGCCAAAGTTCCCTGATAAGTCAAACTGTTTATGAACAACTATATTTACAACCTGAGAGCCACTCTTCTACATACACTGAATATTTGGGATGACAGTGTTAACTAGATGAGTATAGCATTCATCAAAAGTCAGGTTGCAATACATTTACATAGGGCTGATGACACATTCTAAATGGTAGGCCTAATATGGAGGCTGGTCTACCCACAACGGAGCTTTACTACAGTTTGAATGGTGCTTACAGTTCTATAATTCTATATCTATGTGTTTCAGATCTTTGATGAGGTGGAGAAGCGCAGGCAGATCTCCATGGCGATGATCTATCCATTCATGCAGAGCCTGAGGGAGGCGCCGTTCCCTGCTCCCGGAAACACTGTCAAGATCAAGAGCTTCATACCAGAGTCTGGAACAGAGGTATGGAGTATGATAGGGGTATCTAACTCAATTCCTAGAGGGCTGTGTGTCTTCTGGTTTTTGTTAATTCCTTTAAATTAATGGCCAATTAAGACCTAGTGAACCAGGTGAGGTGGAGTTCCTAATTAATCAATGACATTAATCGATCAATCAAGTACAAAGAAAGAGTGAAAACCTGCATCCTTGGAGGACACATGGAGGCACACACACACACACACACACACAAAGCACTTGGCATCACGATGAGGATCAAGACCTTCACCCTAGAGTCCAGCACTGAAATATACACACACACACTTGTGTATACACACCTCCTGAAGACCTTTTGTCTCTCTGCTCCTGGCCTGTGTCTCTCCAGATCATCAGTTTGACGAGGCCGTTGGACTCGTGGTTGGAGCATGTGGATTTCCGGACACTGTTCCGCTGTCTCACAGACGAGGAGGTGTTGCGGGTGTTTGCTTCCACCGTGCTCGAACGACGAATCATCTTCATGGCTGACGAACTCAGGTACAACACCAACCCTAACCCTAACCCCAAAAGGACATCACTGAGCCTGGGTCGTCTAAGTGTCTTGGACAAGGGCAGGCCCGTTGTCTGCATGTTGAATAGGTGTAAAGTTTGTACCTGCTTCACCCCTTACAGTACCCTGTCCCAGGTGCTGCATGCGGTTGCGGCGCTGCTCTATCCGTTCACATGGCAACACACCTTCATCTCCATCGTTCCCTCAGTGCTGATTGATGTCGTCATGGCACCCACTCCCTACCTGCTTGGTGTGCAAAAGAACAAACTGGATGATGTCATCGACCAGAGCGACGTGAGTGTGTGTGTTCTGTGTGTGTATGGCAGAGCAGAATAAGGTGTTTGTATACGTACATTTCGGCTTCAGAAAATACTATTTGATGAAGAGTTATGTTTTGGGGACAAAGCCAGATTTTTAAAGAAGGTTAAGGGCAGTTGTTGAGTGCTGTAAACAATGTTTGGGATCAGGCATTCCTGCCTCTACATTGTGTGACCGGCTGGGGAGAATATATCCAGTGACACTCATTCAGCCACAACTAACACAATTACAGCCAATTGAAACCAGCCAGTGTGTGTGTTATCTCCGACCTGAAGATCTGTGTGTGTGTGTGTGTGTGTGTGTGTGTTTATTTCTTTACCTGTCTCTGTGTGTATGTACACACATGCACGTGTGTGTGTGTGTGTTATTCTGTCTCATAAACAGATGCTCATTGTAGATCTGACAGAGGGAGCAGAGAACACCTTCATCACCTGTGTAAGTATTGCATGCACCATATTTCCCCTCAAGTTCAAAAACAAAAGTACAGAAATAAACAAACACTTCTCACAATCAGATTAGTAAACTAGCGTCACTCCTCCCATGATTCTCATTTGAAAGCCAACTTGATTGTGTGTGTGGTTCAGACCAGTTTTTCCCTCTCTGGCTGAATGTGCGTATACTCAGAAATACCAAAACATTCTTGCTGGTCTGGCAACAACCTCTCAGATTCCTCTGTGTGTGTGTCCTCTCTCTCTGGCGCAGATAGGAGACGAGAGCACCATCCTACCAGAGAAACTACAGGAGGAGCTTCTCCAGGCCTTGTGTTGCAGGAAAGACAACTCCAGTGAGTGGACCCATCCTCCATTTTGTTCTGATGTCTGGAATTTTTATTATCAACGCATCCAAGGATTTTAGTTTATAGGGCTTAAGAGGATTCAGCAAACAGAGTGACTCAGGCTTCCATTCGATTTCAGATAAGACTGACTCAGTCAGCCACAAATCAAACCACATGAGGCAGCATCATAGTCCATACAAACCCAATGATAGAAGTCAGATCCTCTGCAGAATGAACTAAACATAATAATGAGGTGGATGTACAATGAAATGTTCTGGATGGTTGCTGTAATATGAACATACATCTCTTTCAGACCACACAGTATGAACCCTGGAAAGTCCCAAGTTTATGTTAGTCTGAATGTGTGTGCGTGGGAGGGTTGTGATGTTGGAGAACATACTGTAGAAACGTACACCCAGGGCTTGACCAGGGTCACGACCCTGGAAATTCCATTCTGGATACTGTCGATTGTGCCTAAGTTGATCCAGACACAGATGCTACTCCGCAACCCCTCAGCGCTCACACACAGACCCAACCCCCATCCACACACACTCCAATCCACCATGTTGTGGTTGCCATAGAGCTGAACAGAGTTGTCTCAGAGGCTTTCCAACCTATTATTGTGTCAACAACATATTGGATATCTCAAAGCAGACACCACTTAAAAACTGACTGAATATTTTGTACACTTTGTTGTGTCCAGCCTCAGAATATATGAGAGAGGTGTTGTCTGAGACCTTCCAACCTGTGTTTGTAGACACCTCCTCAGCATCCTGACTGAATCATCTGTATTATCTGTACTCTGTGTTTTGTATCTAGCCTCGGAGGAGTTGAATAAGGTGGTCTCGGAGGCCTTCCTCTCCTTCTTTGTGAAGACTGTGGGCCACTTCCCCTCCCATGTTAATCGCAGAAGCGGCGGGCAGCCTGGCGTGTTCCAGATCAAGAGCTTCTGCAAGGCCTCCGAACCGAAGGCCAGCCGCCATTTTGTCAAACGCTTCATCCAGACACAGATGTTTGACCTCTTCATCCAGGAAGTAGAGAGACAGCCCACACAGGAAGGTATGGTCACATCACTACCTGATACAATAGAATAGGATGGAATAGAATACAACTTGAATTTAATTTGGTTTATTTGGATGGGGACAAGTACAAACACATTGAACAAACAATGGTCCAATGCATGCACTATTATTGCATGTTTCTAGCTCACGCTAATTTTCAACACCTGTTCCCATGGGTTCTAATAGAAACAAAATAAAATAAAGATATACATAATCAATTAAAAATCACAAAATCACATCACTACATTATTGCAATTATATGCACAAAGCAAATCTCATACATACAGTGAGCTCCAAAAATATTGGGACAGTGACACCTTTTTCGTTTTGGCTCTTTACTCCAGCACTTTGGATTTGAAATGATAGTGACTATGAGGTTAAAGTACAGACTGTCAGCTTTAATTTTAGGGTATTTTCATCCATATTGGGTGAACCGTTTAGAAATTACAGCACGTTTTGTACATAGTCCCCCCCCCACCCCATGTTAGGGGACCAAAAGTATTGGGATACTGATAGTCCTGAGTGAATCGTAAATAAGGATGAGTGAGAAAGTTACTGATGCACAAATATCATACCCCCAAGACATGCTAACCTCTCACCATTACAATAACAGGGGAGGTTAGCATTTTTGGGGGCTATGACATTTGTGCGTCTAACTTTCTCACTCATTATTCACGATTAATTCAGGACTATCCGTAATCATGGTAGCATCCACATTAATGTAGAAGTGTTTAGAAACATATTCTATTCTTATTGACAATAGAAGTGACTCCAAAATGGCACAATACATATACTGTTCATCCGATATCGATGAACATACCCTCAAATTAAAGCTGACAGTCTGCACTTTAACCTCCATAGACATTGTATCGTTTCAAATCCAAAGTGCTGGAGTACAGAGCCAAAACAACAACAAAAATGTCACTCTCCCAATACTTTTGGAGCTCACTGTATATACCCCTAGTAGGTCTATTTATGACTTGGAGGGTCTTAATGGGTCTGTTGGATAACGCACATCAGTTCATACATGATTGCACTGTTGGAGCTGTAGCAACAAGTTTTCGGTATTTATTTTGAACGTATTCAAATGTTCCAGCAGTTTATGTTCTTCTGATAGTGTTTCATGCATATGCTCCTCTGTAGGAGAAGGAATGGCCTATATAAGTTTTATATAGAGCAGGGGTCTCCAACAGGTAGATCGCGATAGCTCGCAGCCCACCTATGAGTAGCTTGCCAAACAATTCTGAAAGTACATGCAATTTTCACGTGTTCCATTGCAAATGGTCATAAACAAATCTCACAACTATCAGACACCGCACACTCCCAGCTACTATGTAATCAACGCAACATTATCCCACCCCTGGTTAGCAACTATTGGCTTAAAAGGCCAAACCGAACATAATATCAGGCAATTAATTTCCAGCAATATTGCCCCCGTCTGTCTGTGTGGTGCGTGCGTTTGTCTATCACTCCGTGTGTAGCCAGTTGATGTGATAACCGTCTTGTGGGTTGACAGAAATACTTTCCCCAAAACCTTCTCAATTAAATGTTAACTGCAAAGTAGGCTTACCTGGCATAAGTATATCATGAGGAAGTATATCATTTGTATCTATTATTTGTTATTTGCTGACTTTGCCATGAAATGAGAAGCAGCAGTTCAGAAGCATCACTAGACCTGCACATCAGATGCACATTCCTCATTCGCTAGACGTGCAATTAAAGGGCCAGATGCGCAGTTAAAGGGGTATTGCACTCAAATCAGTTTGTTCCAGACCTAAAAAATAGTCTTCTGATGTGATTTAAGCATTGACATGGTCTCAGAATATGGAATTTCGTTTAAATTGCCCCAGACCATTATTCCTCCTCCACCAGACGTTACAGTTGGCACTATGCATTGGGTCTGGTAGCGTTCTCCTGGCACCCGCCAAACCCAGATTCGTCCGTCGGACTGCCAGGTGGTGAAGTGTGATTCATCACTCCAGAGAACGCATTTCCACTGCTCCAGAGTCCAATGGCGGCGAGCTTTACACCACTCCAGCCGACACTTGGCATTGCGCATGGTGATCTTAGGCTTGTGTGCGGCTGCTCGACCATGGAAACCCATTTCATGAAGCTACCGACGAACAGTTCTTGTGGTGACGTTGCTTCGAGGCAGTTTGGAACTCGGTAGTGAGTGTTGCTTCAGCACTCGGTGATCCCGTTCTTTGAGCTTGTGTGACCTACCACTTTGTGGCTGAGCCGTTGTTGCTCCTAGACGTTTCCACTTCACAATAACAGCACTTACAGTTGACCGGGGCAGCTCTAGCAGGGCAGAAATTTCACAAACTGACTTGTTGTAAAGGTGGAATCCTATGACTGTGCCACATTGAAATTCCCTGAGCTCTTCAATAAGGCCATTCTACTACAAATGTTTGTCTATGGAGATTGCATGGCGGTGTGCTCGATTTTATACACCTGTCAGCAACGGGTGTGGCTGAAATAGCCAAATCCACTAATTTGAAGGGGTGTCCACATACTTTGGTGTATATAGTGTATATTGACAGAAAATATAGTGCACTACTTTCTCTTGTAGACTAAGGACCGGGGAAGAGTTGCAAGAGAGAGGAGATGAGAAGAATGGGCCTATTTGAAAGCTATTTTTTTTTAAATCGCTCACGACATATTTCCTTTTTTTTTTTTTAAGTACCTCATGCTAGAAAAGGTTGGAGACACCTGATTTAGAAGGACCCTGGTTGACATTCCAGGCCATTGCAGCTTCTGCATGTGTTTGGTCAGGGATTCAGGGGCAAGACCATTGAGACACTTAAACACAAGCTTCACATGTACAAATCTGATTAAGTGTTCAAAGCTTAGTACATTGTACTTTTTCAAGATGTGACCGTGATGGTACCGTATATGCTTTTTGTCCAGGATTTTAAACGCATGGTTATACAGTGACTCTAGGGGTCTCGGCATTGTTGCTAGCCACTGAGTCCAGATGTTCTGTCAGTTGTTTAGAGACATCGGCACAGGTTTTACCAGACACATAGACAAGTGTCATCAGCGTACATTTGAAGGCTGGCACTTGGGCAGATCTCTGGTAGATCATTGATGTTTAATGAGAACAGAATTGGGCCAAGCACTGACAAAAGATGGAAGAAAATGTGTGATTAACAAACACTTTTTCATAGGAGCATATATATACACTTACCCACTCAGCAATGAATAATGTGTTTTTCCCTGTCTTTTTTTTTAAAGGATTCTTCCACCAAAAAATTGCGGAGTACCAAGAAAGTAAGAAGAAAGAGAAGGCAAAGAGAGGCTGGGTGAGAGGGCTTGTGGTGTAAATGTAGGCGTCCTCAGACAAACATTTTCTTCCCTGATTCTGATTGTGTATATACAATGTTATATTTGTATACAGTTGTGATGCTGGCTAAGCGTGACGCTACAGGACATTGCGGCTATCTAAGTGGAGCGAAGATAGGGACAATCTGAGTCTGCTGTATTTTCTCTTGCCTGTAAAAATGGTAGACTACTCCCTGTTATGTTGAATGAATGTGTGCTAAAGATGAAGAAACACTTAAACATGTTTTTGTCAATGTTTCTAGGTTTATTGAAGGATGTGTTACTTCTGTTGTGATTAATTGGCAAAATGTTAATTGATAAAGGTTTATTTATTGCACTTTTGTGCTGCAAGTTGCTCTTACATTCATAACTAAACATACCTCTGAGTATTTCATAGTATCCTAAATATTTTATGTTTATTATGCCTACAGGGTGCCTTTATAAATTGTTTTTGTTTATTTAAGCTGTGGGTATGAATGTGAATGGTAGATAGGATGTGAATAAAAACTTTTTAGAATTGTGAATAAAAGTTGGACCAATGATGATTAACATTTTTGTCTAGATTGGTATTTATTAGGATCCCCATTAGCCACTGCAAAAGCACCAGCTACTCTTCCTGGGGTCCACATGAAACATGACATAATACATAGTACAGAACATTATTAGTCAAGGGCTGAAATGCATACATTTAAAACGTCACACACAGCCTACATATCAGTACATACACACACTATCTAGGACTAATACATAGTACAGTGCAAATTACAATATATATAAAATGGCTTTGTCTTTTCACAGTCCCCTTTGTGCAGTAAGGTGTTATTTAATCTGTTTTTTGAAACTGGTTTTATTGCTAGCTTGAGTTACCTGGGGTGGCAGAGTTCCATGTAGTCATGGCTCTATTTAATATTGTGCGTTTCCCAGCCTCTGTACTGGACCTGGGGACTGTGAAGAGGCCTCTGGTTGCATGTCTTGTGTTGTACCGATGAGTGTCCGAACTGTGTGCCAACTGCTTGAAAAGACAGTTCGGTACCTTCAACACATCAATACCTCGCACAAAGACCTATAGTGATGCAGTCAATCTCTCCTCAACTTTGAGCCATTAGAGACGTACATGCATGTCACTGACACTTTACCTCCGTGTACATTCTAAGTGCGATACGTGCTGCTTTGTTCTGGACCAACTGCAATTTACTTATGTCCTTTTTCTTTGCCGCACATGACCACACAACTGGGCAAGTAGTCCAGGTGCGACAAAACTAGGGCCTGTATTACCTGTCTGGTCGACTGAGATGTCAAGAAGGCTGAGCAACGCCCCATCATTTAGAAACCATTGAGATTATCTTTGACACTCACACCACATCCGGAGCATGAAATAGCGTCCCTAGCAACCAGTGCCAGAGAGCGAGAGACGCATCAATAATTTGTTCTCGTTTTTTTCTCTCTGTCATCACGATTAAGCACACACATTTTCCATTCAAGGCGATTTTTATATTACTGCGGTGTGCAATGGCGCAGGGTGTGCATTAAAAACGTTCACATTTTCCAAACGGAGCGGTCCTGAGGAACGAATCACTTCCGTCACTACCTAGAATGACAATGGCGGAGAAACGTCGGGCCGGGGGAACTTCGGGGATGTCCGAAGCCAAACCAACCAAGACTGACACTGAGAGGGAGTTCTTATCGCAGGCGGGAGTCGGGGAGTTACTCCGGGGGGCTCTGTTAAAGATGGTAGAGGCCAGGTCGGAGGACCCAGTGGGGTTTTTGGCAGACCATTTCTGTAATCTGGCCTCCGAGACTGAGAATGGGATGGCTGGATGCTGCAGCGATGGAGATATGCTAAACCTCGGTGCAGGCGCACACGAGCAGCAGCAGCTGAGCCGAGCCCTATGGCACCTGCGTCTAGCGCATCACTCTCAGAGGTAAGACAGACAGAGTTGAGTTTGGCAGTCGCAAAATGCATGTTCTCGTTTTATCTCACAATGAAATAACACAACTCACTGGGCTAAAACTGTTTGAATCAACGTTGTTTCCATGTCATTTTAACAACAACAAAAAATCTATGTGGTGTTGAATCAACGTGGAAAACTGATTGGATTTGCAAAAAGTCATCAACATTTTCTACCTAACTTTTAACCTAAATCCAATGACCAGGTGACATTTTTGGTTGATTTCACGTTGAATTTACGTTAGTTTACAACTGCTCAACCAAATGTAAATCAAAACTAGACGTTGAACTGATTGATGTCTGTGCCCAGTGGAAATGCTCTTGTGCTTCCATGTGTGCCTGTGCATGTGTACAAGTGGAGGCTGCTGAGGGGAGGACAGCTCATAATAATGGCTGGAACGGAGCCAATGGAATGTATTTATTTATGTATGTATTTGATACCATTCCACTTATTCCACTCCAGCCATTACCACAAGCCTGTCTTCCCCAATGAAGGTGCCATCAACCTCCTGTGATGTGTACCTACACGTGTGTGTATGTATTCAGATCTGCCTTCAGCAACAATGTTCGTGTGGCCTACGACCTACTAACCCAGACAGGGCCCCAGCGGCGAGGAGGAGTGGGTCCCAGTGGCTCCGCTGGTCCATGCAGCTCTAACAGCCCAGGTGGGGGGGTCAGGGGCCGACTCTACACACACACCCTCCAGGTAGGGTATACAATTGACAATTCATACTGTATACACTGCTGCTTTCAGAAACCACCATTTCCATTGTGCCCTTGAGTAAGGTAAATAGATCCGCGTTATAGCGTGATTTACATTTAAAGGTAATTTTCCATTGAGCTGACATATGCAGCGTTTACCGTGAATGTGGTCTCCACAAACACGGAAACATTGCCTTTAATACCTGTTGTATTCGGTGCATGTGACAAAATATATTGACACAAATATTTGAAAGGTGCATAGCCGAAAACGGGCAATCGGATTGAATCTAGCCCTTAACCTCTGCAGCTGACCCTGTGTGGTCTTCTCAAGTGCTGTGTTTGTGTGTTGGCCGAGGTGTTTGAGAGCAGAGCAAAATACAAATTTCTGTTGTAGATGGACATCTAAGTACTATTTTGTTCTGCTCTATTCTACTCTCCAGTGTCTCTGCAGCGAGGGAGGTGTCCCCATCTCCACTTCAGCCCCTCTGCTACGCCGGCTCCACTGCCAGGACCATGAGGCCGTGCCCTATGACGTCTTCAGGCACGGTGTGCTGACGTGTGCTGTGTTTTCTGACTACATCCGGCGGGCGCAGAGGCTGTATGCGGAGGTCTGCGACCCAGCTGAGGGGCCTGCTGGTCGGGCACTATGTCTGGCTGTGCTGGGCACCCTCCATGAAGCCCTGGAAACCTCCCGGTCTGACGGTGGCTCCTCAGATGCTAACCACTACACTAATGCTAACGCTAAGGCCAATCCCTACCTGGAGGCTAACACTAAGGTTAGCCGCTACCTGGAGGCGAGTGCTAAGATCTCGCCCGGTAAGCTTGCCCAGGCTATGTCTGGAGCGGAACCAGCCGGGGTCAACATGGACGCCAAGGAATTTGAGGATGCTGCGGCAGAGCTCTTTATTGCTCGAGTAAGAGTTGTGTGTTAGCTGCTGGTGTATACTCGTTCCTATAATGCCTGCACAGTTCCTTGTAATGTAGTTTCTTGCACAGAACCTAGTATAATGAGATGTGAATGACTTTCCTCGTTCTTATGAAGCACTTGGAAAGAACATACAGCATGGCTAAATATACACTACCGTTCAAAAGTTTGGAGTCACTTAGAAATGTCCTTGTTTTCGAAAGAAAAGCAATTTTTTGATTTTTAATGGAATATCGACATAGACGTACAGAGGCCCATTATCAGCAACCATCAGTCCTGTGTTCCAATGGCACGTTGTGTTTGCTAATCCAAGTTTATCATTTTAAAAGGCTAATTGATCATTAGAAAACCCTTTTGCAATTATGTTAGCACAGCTGTTGTGCTGATTAAAGAAGCAATAAAACTGGCCTTCTTGAGACTAGTTGAGTATCTGGAGCATCAGCAATTGTGGGTTCGATTACAGGCTCAAAATGGCCAGAAACAAATAACTTTCTTCTGAAACTCGTCAGTCTATTCTTGTTCTGAGAAATAAAGGCTATTCCATGCGAGAAATTGCCAAGAAACTGAAGATCTCGTACAATGCTGTGTACTTCACAGAACAGCGCAAACTGGCTCTAACCAGAATAGAAAGAGGAGTGGGAGGCCCCGGTGCACAACTGAGCAAGAGGACAAATACATTAGTGTCTAGTTTGAGAAACAGGCGCCTCACAGGTCCTCAACTGGCAGCTTCATTAAATAGTACCCGCAAAACACCAGTCTCAATGTCAACAGTGAAGAGGCGACTCCGGGATGCTGACCTTCTAGGCAGAGTTGCAAAGAAAAAGTAATATCTCAGACTGGCCAATAAAAATAAAAGATTAAGATTGCCACAATTGCTGATGCTCCAGATACTCAACTAGTCTCAAGAAGGCCAGTTTTATTGCTTCTTTAATCAGCACAACAGTTTTCAGCTGTGCTAACATAATTGCAAAAGGGTTTTCTAATGATCAATTAGCCTTTTAAAATGATAAACTTGGATTAGCAAACACAACGTGCTATTGGAACACAGGACTGATGGTTGCTGGTAATGGGCCTCTGTACTCCTATGTAGATATTCCATAAAAAATCAGCCGTTTCCAGCTACAATAGCCATTTGCAACATTAACAATGTCTACACTGTATTTCTGATCAATTTGATGTTATTTTAATGGACAAAAAAATTGCTTTTCTTTCGAAAACAAGGACATTTCTAAGTGACCCCAAACTTTTGAACAGTAGTGTATACTGTATAATAATATAGTATGATAATGTAAATATGATTCAATATACCAATAAATGTCAGATAACTGGATCTTGCGTATTAATGCTTTAATCTATAACATAATGAAAACATTATCTGTTACAAGTAGGGCTGTGGCGGTCATGAACTTTTGTTAGCCGGTGACTGCCAGTCTCATGGTAATTGACCGTTAATTAACATAAACACATTTAGCATCTCCTGGCTTCCACCCATAGGCTACAAGCCACTGATGCAGACCTTTGGAACATCTACATTTAAAAAAGTATAATAAATCCATGTAATATAGCCTACACTATCACAATAAATCCATAATTTATTTTAGACAGGTCTAAAGAAACATGATATGAAGAAAATGTAGTCTATTTCAGAAGAACAGAATAGCATACTCTTGAGTTGTCCTTATGTTAGCCCTGATCTGGCTATGCCATATGGCTGTGGGTTACACTAGTTCATTTAGCAGACAAGATTTGCTTAGAATTCCGTGGCATTCTTTTATAGTATGAAGAATACAATTGAACATAGCTGAATAAAATAGAAAGGATATTTTCTCCAAACGAATTGAGGGAGTGCGCACATGTAGCTATTCTGTGTTGAGCTGTTAACAAAGAAACAGGTACTCCTATATGCTTAATTTAGAGTTATTTAGGTAACTTTAGTTGTGATACAAATGTTGGAGTATATGTTTAGATTTTTAATACATTCTAAGGCTGCATGAAGCGACACTAATGATGATTTGAAAAAAGTTGCATGAAAGGCATGAGCTCTGTTTTGTTTTTTGTGCAGGCTGTACACACTTAATCAGTCTCTCATTCACAATTTGACAAGCACTTGATAATGCCTAGAATTTCCCCTTTGTGTGGCCATAATGCCCCCTATAAGAATCCATGCCTTTTGCGGCCAGTGGCCGTTGTGCCCTTGGGCTGAATATAATAATTATAATTCCCTTCTCCCGGCTGCGTGCTGAAGCATCTCTCACTCACATTGCTCTCCTTCACGTGATCAGGTCTTTCTCACAGGCTACAAGTGAAGACAGACCCATCTGGTACGCAACTGCGCGCGTCCTTATCCAATTCCGAGGCGCATATTGAAGATATTGGAAGAACTGTCCACATTTACTTTTCGTCAGCCAACAAGATGAGTAGGCCTAATGAACTGCAAAAGCACTAGCCTACTGTATGTCAATCTACTATCCCCCATAGTACAAAAGTTGACCTATTCTGTGCGAGAACAGTTGTGGGATGCGATAGATCCCAAATTAATACAACCACTAGCTTAAAAAAAAACAGTTTTAAGCAATGAGCCTGACGCAACAGATGAGAACGTTTAGTTTAACATGATAATAAACTATGAGTCTATTTCTTTACATTATACGCGCAGCAATGCGCACAAGGCATTAGGCTATAAGTGTGAATGTCCATTAGCAGGAAAACACCATTCTCTAAAGTGACCACAAGCATGTATTGCTTTTTTATAAAGGTGCATTTTTATGGTGGAAATGTTCTTCCCCAAACTTGAAACGCGCTGCATATGTATGCCAGTTAGGCTCTACACCCGTTGTAAAGCAGATTAATGTGCTTTATTTTAAGAAGTTATTTGGCCACTTTAGTTGTGATACAAACCTTATCAAAACATATAGGCCTATGGGCTAGGCCACGAGGTGTACGACTATGATTAGAAAAAGTCGCAAAAAAAGTTATGCGCTGTTTGCCTTAAGCTGGGCATCATTCACAAGTGATAATATATCATTCACAAGTGATAGGCTAATATTGTCTTGAAACAGGGGCAGCGGAAAAAATACATGTCATCTGTGCACTTAAATAGCGAATGGAGGACGCGTTTCACGTAGTTCATTTTCATGCCAGCCAGGTAGGCTATACTCCTATTGCCGGGGCGGCAGGTAGCTTAGTGGGTTAGAGTGTTGTGCCAGTAACTGAAAGGTCGCTGGTTCTAATCCCCGAGCCGACTAGGTGAAAAATCTGTCGATGTGCCCTTAAGCAAGGCACTTAACCCTAATTGCTCCTGTAAGTCGCTCTGGATAAGAGCGTCTGCTAAATGACTAAAATGTAAATGTAAATGTAAAGAGAAGCAATGTGCTTAATATTAGGAAAGGTGTCCCGAGTGGTGCAGTGGTCTAAGGCACTGCATCGCAGTGCTAGCTGTGCCACTAGAGATCCTGGTTCGAATCCAGGCTCTGTCATAGCCAGCCGCGACCGGGAGACCCACGTGGCGGTGCACAATTGGCCCAGGGTAGGGGAGTGAATGGCCGGCAGGGATGTAGCTCAGTTGGTGGAGCATGGCGTTTGCAACGCCAGAGTTGTGGGTTTGTTTCCCACGGGGGGCCAGTATGATTTTTTTTTTAAATAATAATGTATGCACTCACTAACTGTAAGTCGCTCTGGATAAGAGCTTCTGCTAAAAAAAAAAAAAAAAAAAAGGCCTAGCCTATAAAAAGCTGATGGGATCCTCCTCTTTTTAGTACAGGCCATCAGGCCTATAGAAATGTTGGCAACATGAGCTCATTGGCTCTCCTGAAGTGTTTGATTAGATTTTCGATGACATTTGCATTGATGTCAGAGTGATTAGAGGGACAATAGAGTGCTGAGTACCAGGCAGTTAGCAAGTTTGGTAGGCTACTAATGACCATCAGCAGCATCAGTGCTTGGAAAAGCCTAATTACCGTGACTAAACAGTCACGTGGAATTTTACTGCTGTCATGACTCGTGACCGCCGATGTGGCGGTAATATGGTCGCGTAACAGCCCTAGTTACAAGTAAAAGGTTTTTTGTTATAAAGCCTTCATATACAACAGTGAATATATGATGCTTGCGATTCCTAACAATGGAGACAAGACAAGTAAAGCTCCTATGTAGTTACTGCAGATGTGACCGTTTATTAAGTTAACATGGAACATCAGATTTGCTGTCAGTTAACAGTAATGATGGCAATACCTCCTTCACATATCTCCAGTGTGGTCATAGAAACTGGTGGCTACAGGTAGCCAGCTGCAATTTTTTTTATATAACAAAATAAACCTTTAGTAGAGCTTAAATGGGCGGCAGGTAGCTTAGTGGGTAAGAGCGTTGTGCCAGTTACCGAAAGGTCGCTGGTTCTAATCCCCAAGCTGACTAGGTGAAAAATCTGTCAATGTGCCCTTAAGCAAGGCACTTAACCCTAATTGCTAAATGACTAAAATCTAAAATGAATAACCAGATAATCATAGATGGGTTAGCTGACATCACGCAAACGATTCGCACACTTCAATGGGGCAGAAGTCCATGAGTTGTTGTAATTCTGGATGGCCAGATAGCTACCAACAATTACAAGAAACTGACATGTGGGGAATTGTAATTGACCTGTTTCAATGCTAATTACGGCTAAAATTCGCTAGCTAACCAAAAACTGTAAGAATGTATTTCAGAGACAAGTGTTTGTTGTGCAAATACAACTAGCCAGCTGCCATTTATTTTTATACAAAAAAAAAAAAAAAAAAAAAAACTTTTAGTAGAAACAAATGAATAACCAGAGAATCATAGACATTCAGTAATAATGAAAAACCTGCTTATTTCCCCCTATATTTTATCCATTCAACGGGAAAGAGATGTGAATTCATTACTTTTTATGGGTCTGTATAGAAGTAATTTAAATCATCATTGGGGAAGAAATAGAACAGCACAATAAATACAATCCATAATTCAGTAATTACCAAACCTAAAGCAAAACACAATTATCTCCTTATTCTCCCACATTAACACTGAGGGATTCACAGCAAGCAAAATAACTTCGCATCCCAAAGCAAAAGTGAAGTAGAGCAAATGCATCATTATACTTCTAGATAATTAGTTCAAGTGCCTTGCTTCAAACCACCTAATTATATAAATTCTCATGAAAGAATCAACATAAACTCACTCAACAAATGCTCATGTCTATTTTTGTGTTGACAACGAGGGTATGAACAACAGTATGAAAACTCACTAACTGTAAGTCGCTCTGGATAAGAGCGTCTGCTAAATGACTAAAATGTAAAAATGAGGGGGTTGCTAGACCATGTTGCTGGCTCTTTGGCACCATCCAGTGGTTGATAAGAATAGCATAGTTGTGTTCTGATATCAAAACCACTGCACACCACAGATGACATCTCTTATCAGATGATGCCCTTAGGCCCAATAAAAATATAATTACTCTCTAATACAAGTACCGCTCATAACACAAGAACCAAATGTCAGTGAAAATAGTGCAGTTGACATCAAAAGGCATTTCCACTGTTTCTAAGAATGAGGTTTATCAGCAGTATCTTAGTCCTTGTTGATTGCACACTCAGCATTCTGTATTTAAGGCCTGAGGGGGTGTGGTATATGGCCACTATACCACGGCTAAGGGCTGTTCTTATGGACGCAACACGGAGTGCCTGGATACAGCCATTAGCCGTGGTATATTGGCCATATACCACAACCCCCCGAGGTGCCTTATTGCTATTATAAACTGGTTACCAATGAAATTAGAACAGTAAAAATATGCTTTTGTCATAATATACCACAGCTTTCAGCCAATCAGCATTCAGGGCTCGAACCATCCGGTTTATAATCTCATTTATTCCATTCAGTTTGTTCACATTTACAGCTTGACTCCATCACACTACTAGGAGTGGTCTTGTTCAGATGCCCCCCGCCAGCAGTGGAGAGGTCTCTGATTGGTTGACAGGTGTGGTGACGCTGTAGTGTGGCGAATCATTCATGTGATTACTCTGTAGGTCCGCCTCTGCCCGCAGCGTTATTTTCTACAGATGGGAAATGGAGCACAGTTGTTAGAATAGTGCTCTTCAACTTCTGCCCTGGAGAGCTATGGGGTACGCAGGATTTTACTGCAGCCCAGCAACAGATTCTGTGTGGCCCTAGTGATACAGTAAGTGAATAAAGGAAATGAGGAGGAGAGCTGTGGTACCTGGAAGTCTCGGATATAGCTGAGAAAGAAACTGATGAAGGAGAGAGCCAGAGACCACTCAGAGATGGTGCTGATGATGTGAGGAATGTAGCCCTGCAACAAACAGAACTGTTAGCGCGCACACACACACACACACACAGAATAAGGCTACTGACCGTCTCTCCAGGTATCCAGTGCAGTTTATGGGCCACGTCCACTCCAGGCAGACTGCTGTACATGATGACAGATGACACAAACACTGAGAGAAGGAGTCAAGGAGTACAACAGTCAGGAGCTAGAGCCGTGTTACAGAGGGCAACTCTTGCAATTGTCAGAGGTCCTTGCAATTTCTGCAAGTTATCAGCTTCCATTCACTGTAATTTAATGGCATTGTCTAATAGCAACAATGAATCATGATTTCATATTTGCATGTTTGGCAGAAATATAGTGGAGGATACTGCTGATAATGCTGGCGAAGGTCCACACTCCAATGCTGAGTCGGACCCAGAATATACTCTTCCCGTGGACGTGAGGCTGCATGTACAGAGACACCAGCGTCTGCACCAGGATGTACAGGGCCCCCACGCCAAACGTCAATATCGCCCCCACCAGGTGCATGGAGAACAGTGGTTTTCTGTAGAGGGGGAGGGGAGGGATTGATTTACAGTATCACACCTACATACATCAAATCAAATCAAATGTTATTTGTCACATGCGCCGAATACAACAGGTGTAGACCTTACAGTGAAATACTTACTTACAAGCCCTTAACCAACAATGCAGTTTTAAGAAAGAATACGCAAAAAAATCACAAGAAAATACAATATAAAATAATACGAAATAAAAGTAACAAATAATTAAAGAGCAGCAGTAAAAATAACAATAGCGAGGCTATATACAGGGGGTACCGGTACCGAGTCAATGTGCGGGGGCACCGGTTAGTCGAGGTAATTGAGGTAATATGTACATGTAGGTAGAGTTATTAAAGTGACTATGCATAGATAATAAACAGAGAGTAGCAGCGGGGGTGGGGCAATGCAAATAGTCTGGGTAGCCATTTGATTAGATGTTCAGGAGTCTTATGGCTTGGGGGTAGAAGCTGTTTAGAAGCCTCTTGGACCTAGACTTGGCGCTCCGGTACCGCTTGCCGTGCGGTAGCAGAGAGAACAGTCTATGACTAGGGTGGCTGGAGTCTTTGACAATTTTTAGGGCCTTCCTCTGACACCGCCTGGTATAGAGGTCCTGGATGGCAGGAAGCTTGTTCCAGTGATGTACTGGGCCGTACGCTCTACCCTCTGTAGTGCCTTGCGGTCGGAGGCCGAGCAGTTGCCATACCAGGCAGTGATGCAACCAGTCAGGATGCTCTCGATGGTGCAGCTGTAGAATCTTTTGAGGATCTGAGGACCCATGCCAAATCTTTTCAGTCTCCTTAGGGGGAATAGGTTTTGTCGTGCCCTCTTCACAACTGTCTTGGTGTGCTTGGACCATGTTAGTTTGTTGGTGATGTGGACACCAAGAAACTTGAAGCTCTCAACCTGCTCCTCTACAGCCCCGTCGATGAGAATGGGGGCGTGCTCGGTCCTCTTCTTTTTCCTGTAGTCCACAATCATCTCCTTTGTCTTGATCACGTTGAGGGAGAGGTTGTTGTCCTGGCACCACACGGCCAGGTCTCTGACCTCCTCCCTATAGGCTGTCTTGTCGTTGTCGGTGATCAGGCCTACCACTGTTGTGTCATCGGCAAACTTAATGATGGTGTTGGAGTCGTGCCTGGCCATGCAGTCATGAGTGAGCAGGGAGTACAGGAGGGGACTGAGCCCGCATCCCTGAGGGGCCCCCGTGTTGAGGATCAGCATGGCGGATGTGTACCCTTACCACGTGGGGGCGTCCCGTCAGGAAGTCCAGGATCCAGTTGCAGAGGGAGGTGTTTAGTCCCAGGGTCCTTAGCTTAGTGATGAGCTTTGAGGGCACTATGGTGTTGAACGCTGAGCTGTAGTCATTGAATAGCATTCTCACATAGGTGTTCCTTTTGTCCAGGTGTGAAAGGGCAGTGTGGAGCGCAATAGAGATTGCATCATCTGTGGATCTGTTCGGGCGGTCTGCAAATTGGAGTGGGTCTAGGGTTCCTGGGATAATGGTGTTGATGTGAGCCATGACCAGCCTTTCAAAGCACTTCATGGCTACTGACGTGAGTGCTACGGGTCGGTAGTCATTTAGGCAGGTTACCTTAGTGTTCTTGGGCACAGGGACTATGGTGGTCTGCTTGAAACATGTTGGTATTACAGACTCAGACAGGGAGAGGTTGAAAATGTCAGTGAAGACACTTGCCAGTTGATCAGCGCATGCTCGCAAGCCCTGCCACATCAGACGGGCGTCGAAGCCGATGTAGTACAATTCTATCTTAGTCCTGTATTGACTCTTTACCTGTTTGATGGTTCGTCGGAGGGCATAGCAGGATTTCTTATAAGCTTCCGGGTTAGAGTCCCGCTCCTTGAAAGCGGCAGCTCTACCCTTTAGCTCAGTGCGGATGTTGCCTGTAATCCATGGCTTCTGGTTGGGGTATGTACGTACAGTCAATGTGGGGACGACATCATCAATGCACTTATTGATGAAGCAAGTGACTGATGTGGTGTACTCCTCAATGCCATCGGAAGAATCCCGGAACATATTTCAGTCTGTGCTAGCAAAACAGTCCTGTAGCTTAGCATCTGCTTCATCTGACCACTTTTTTATTGACCGAGTCACTGGTGCTTCCTGCATTAGTTTTTGCTTGTAAGCAGGAATCAGGAGGATAGAATTATGGTCAGATTTGCCAAATGGAGGGCGAGGGAGAGCTTTGTACGCGTCTCTGTGTGTGGAGTAAAGGTGGTCTAGAGGTTTTTTCCCTCTGGTTGCACATTTAACATGCTGGTAGAAATTAGGTAAAACTGATTTAAAAGTTTCCCTACATTAAAGTCCCCTGCCACTAGGAGCGCCACCTCTGGATGAGCGTTTTCCTGTTTGCTTATGGCCGTATACAGTTCATTGAGTGCGGTCTTAGTGGTAAATAGACAGCTACAAAGAATATAGATAAATTATCTTGGTAGATAGTGTGGTATACAGCTTATCATGAGATAAGCTGTAGACCATGGTTGTCATTATAAGAAAAACTGGAACAAGACTTTAGAAGAGAGACCGAAAGAAAGCAAGAGACAGACACACAAGTCAATGGGTACCTGGAAGTTAGCGACGATGCACATGCCAAATGAGCTGGTCCATCCCAGCACCAGGCCCAAGACGTTGAGTTTATGGAGCTTTGACTCCTCCTCGTCTGTCAAGGCTTGGACCTGCTTGTAGCGTACATACATGGTGGCTACACCTGCCACGACAAACATGATCACACATTAAAACATAATCACAAATTCAGTCCGATATACACATGATTTCAAATTGATTGCTAGATTCAATAGAGGACTCAGAGAGGTAAAGGTGATGTTACCTAAGAATGCTGACATGTCCAGCATTATTCCAAACACACATCTCTCTGGGGCAACGGTCCCTGTGTCACTGTGAACAGAAAGATGACAAGCAGAATGCCAGTCACTTCCTATTACAATGCAATGGCTACTTATGAAGCAAAGTGATTTCAAGTATAAAGGTAAAAAGACAAGGATACAAGGAGGATGGGTTTGCATTTGGGAACCTGATGTATGGCACCAGTGGGTCCACATGTCTCAGCACCACAGCCGTGACGTAAGCGAAGATGAACGTGGCTGCCGTCCATAATACCAGAGCCACTGGTAGAATACACAGACCCTGCTGGAACCACCACATGTCCTCTGCTCTGTGTGTGTGTGTCAATCCACCTGTAGCCTATCCAAGTTAAACCACTTGTGCTGGTGTGTTGTCTTCACCTGTAGAGCATGAGATTATGTGAGGCATCAGAGTGCACTGTGGGCACACACACTTATACAAATAGATGGATCTGCACACTCTTGTTACCTCATTCTGGATAAAATCCCATTATTAAGAGATGCATTACTCCCACGTGATCTCATTTCTCAGTTCCTCTACTACTGTTTCTGTGCCTCGATGTACTATCAAGTGACTTTAGAGAGATACAGAAACGTTACGGTTACTGTTTAATCAGATCAATAGAGAGTGAACAAGCTACATAGAAGACGGCGTTAAAAAGATATGTGTATAAGATAACTGGAACTCTGCAAATATGACCCTATTGTACCTTCCGCAGTTCGTTTGCTGTCACGAGGGAGAGCTTTGTACGCGTCTCTGTGTGTGGAGTAAAGGTGGTCTAGAGGTTTTTTCCCTCTGGTTGCACATTTAACATGCTGGTAGAAATGAGGTAAAACGGATTTAAGTTTCCCTACATTAAAGTCCCCTGCCACTAGGAGTGCCACCTCTGGATGAGCGTTTTCCTGTTTGCTTATGGCCGTATACAGTTCATTGAGTGCGGTCTTAGTAGTAAATAGACAGCTACAAAGAATATAGATAAATTATCTTGGTAGATAGTGTGGTATACAGCTTATCATGAGATAAGCTGTAGACCATGGTTGTCATTATAAGAAAAACTGGAACAAGACTTTAGAAGAGAGACCGAAAGAAAGCAAGAGACAGACACACAAGTCAATGGGTACCTGGAAGTTAGTGACGATGCACATGCCAAATGAGCTGGTCCATCCCAGCACCAGGCCCAAGACGTTGAGTTTATGGAGCTTTGACTCCTCCTCGTCTGTCAAGGCTTGGACCTGCTTGTAGCGTACATACATGGTGGCTACACCTGCCACGACAAACATGATCACACATTAAAACATAATCACAAATTCAGTCCGATATACACATGATTTCAAATTGATTGCTAGATTCAATAGAGGACTCAGAGAGGTAAAGGTGATGTTACCTAAGAATGCTGACATGTCCAGCATTATTCCAAACACACATCTCTCTGGGGCAACGGTCCCTGTGTCACTGTGAACAGAAAGATGACAAGCAGAATGCCAGTCACTTCCTATTACAATGCAATGGCTACTTATGAAGCAAAGTGATTTCAAGTATAAAGGTAAAAAGACAAGGATACAAGGAGGATGGGTTTGCATTTGGGAACCTGATGTATGGCACCAGTGGGTCCACATGTCTCAGCACCACAGCCGTGACGTAAGCGAAGATGAACGTGGCTGCCGTCCATAATACCAGAGCCACTGGTAGAATACACAGACCCTGCTGGAACCACCACATGTCCTCTGCTCTGTGTGTGTGTGTCAATCCACCTGTAGCCTATCCAAGTTAAACCACTTGTGCTGGTGTGTTGTCTTCACCTGTAGAGCATGAGATTATGTGAGGCATCAGAGTGCACTGTGGGCACACACACTTATACAAATAGATGGATCTGCACACTCTTGTTACCTCATTCTGGATAAAATCCCATTATTAAGAGATGCATTACTCCCACGTGATCTCATTTCTCAGTTCCTCTACTACTGTTTCTGTGCCTCGATGTACTATCAAGTGACTTTAGAGAGATACAGAAACGTTACGGTTACTGTTTAATCAGATCAATAGAGAGTGAACAAGCTACATAGAAGACGGCGTTAAAAAGATATGTGTATAAGATAACTGGAACTCTGCAAATATGACCCTATTGTACCTTCCGCAGTTCGTTTGCTGTCACGAGGGAGAGCTTTGTACGCGTCTCTGTGTGTGGAGTAAAGGTGGTCTAGAGGTTTTTTCCCTCTGGTTGCACATTTAACATGCTGGTAGAAATGAGGTAAAACGGATTTAAGTTTCCCTACATTAAAGTCCCCTGCCACTAGGAGTGCCACCTCTGGATGAGCATTTTCCTGTTTGCTTATGGCCGTATACAGTTCATTGAGTGCGGTCTTAGTAGTAAATAGACAGCTACAAAGAATATAGATAAATTATCTTGGTAGATAGTGTGGTATACAGCTTATCATGAGATAAGCTGTAGACCATGGTTGTCATTATAAGAAAAACTGGAACAAGACTTTAGAAGAGAGACCGAAAGAAAGCAAGAGACAGACACACAAGTCAATGGGTACCTGGAAGTTAGTGACGATGCACATGCCAAATGAGCTGGTCCATCCCAGCACCAGGCCCAAGACGTTGAGTTTATGGAGCTTTGACTCCTCCTCGTCTGTCAAGGCTTGGACCTGCTTGTAGCGTACATACATGGTGGCTACACCTGCCACGACAAACATGATCACACATTAAAACATAATCACAAATTCAGTCCGATATACACATGATTTCAAATTGATTGCTAGATTCAATAGAGGACTCAGAGAGGTAAAGGTGATGTTACCTAAGAATGCTGACATGTCCAGCATTATTCCAAACACACATCTCTCTGGGGCAACGGTCCCTGTGTCACTGTGAACAGAAAGATGACAAGCAGAATGCCAGTCACTTCCTATTACAATGCAATGGCTACTTATGAAGCAAAGTGATTTCAAGTATAAAGGTAAAAAGACAAGGATACAAGGAGGATGGGTTTGCATTTGGGAACCTGATGTATGGCACCAGTGGGTCCACATGTCTCAGCACCACAGCCGTGACGTAAGCGAAGATGAACGTGGCTGCCGTCCATAATACCAGAGCCACTGGTAGAATACACAGACCCTGCTGGAACCACCACATGTCCTCTGCTCTGTGTGTGTGTGTCAATCCACCTGTAGCCTATCCAAGTTAAACCACTTGTGCTGGTGTGTTGTCTTCACCTGTAGAGCATGAGATTATGTGAGGCATCAGAGTGCACTGTGGGCACACACACTTATACAAATAGATGGATCTGCACACTCTTGTTACCTCATTCTGGATAAAATCCCATTATTAAGAGATGCATTACTCCCACGTGATCTCATTTCTCAGTTCCTCTACTACTGTTTCTGTGCCTCGATGTACTATCAAGTGACTTTAGAGAGATACAGAAACGTCACGGTTACTGTTTAATCAGATCAATAGAGTGAACAAGCTACATAGAAGACGGCGTCAAACAGATATGTGTATAAGATAACTGGAACTCTGCAAATATGACCCTATTGTACCTTCCGCAGTTCGTTTGCTGTCACCTCATCACACGTCATTTGGTCTCACAAATGAAAAAATGAACAGCGGGAAAGCAGAAAAGCAAAGATGTAGTTTACTCTTCAGATCGCTATAATTAAATGTACATAACACGGATGAGGGTTTCTGACATGCTCTCTCAACTAAAAACATAATCCCTTTATTTCCTGTTAGTGTTTCAGAAGAGGCGTGGCCTTGAAATACCCGGATTTTTTGCGAACGTCAACAGAGAAGATCTTTCATGTCAATCATCTGACAGCAGACAGAAAAAAGTTGCTTGGATGCTGTCTGTTACTTAAATGATGATATGATGATGATAAATATATATAGGAACAGTGCTTCACTTGGACAGAAATAGGTTCCTGTACTCATTTTGGCTGCCGGTACTGTTTATATTTAGGTGCAGGAGCTCCACAATACTTTTGAGCTAATATTCTATAAGAGGAACGTGAGCTCAAGCAGGACAACATTTGAGGTGCCGGTACTCAGCTCCAGGGAGTTCCTACCCAAGTCAAGCACTGAATACAAGTCCCTGTATTCATACCTGTAATAGCATTACCCTGTGCAATTTAGTGGGCAATTTAGTATGGACCATTGAATCAACTAAAAGCCACAAACGGTATGAATATCAACCATAGACATTAAAACCAGATATCAAAACTTTACACAAAGTAACACCAGAGAGAAGTCTCAAATTGTAACATTGTTTCTACCAAGAAACATCGTACCCACCAACTGATGTAATTTGTTCCCGCGCTCATTTGGCGCGCCAACGTTTCTCGCGCATATTTTCAACAGAGAGTTCCCTTCACTGCAAACTCTGAAACCAAGTAAACGACTTTTGACCAAAAGAATGGTAGGGCCGTGAAACTAGCTCGCTTTTATATGACCATATATGACCATATATTTGAACAAGTTTGAAACAAATGTATTTAGCAAAAGAAGGATTTTTACTTTGATAGCCTGTTTTGTTTAGGTCAAAATAGGTCAGGTTGCTAAGGTTGCTTTCACACAAGGTAATGTTAGTTAGCTGGCTAGTTAGATTCGAGGTTAGCATAACGTTAGCTATAGGCTAAAGTTGTCAGTTGAACCAGTTCTGTAGCACATGTATCTTCTTTATTGTCAAACAACAAAAGATGGCAACTCACAAGGGATGTGCTCAGAAAGGCAAAGCAAAATGCACTAAAACCACCTCAGGCAAACCCCATATGGAGGACTTCAATGGGAGTTTCAACAATGAAAACCTTCCAGGTAAAGTAGTTGGTCCTGAAAACTGGTAGCCTATAAATCATGTGTTGGCATTTTTTCTTCATGACATAATATCTAACAGTCTACTTTTTTTATTGTTACAGTAGTTGAGGGTGAGACATTGAGAGGAAGGAAACGTCTCTCAGAGCCAGATGATGATGACATTGACATCGACATCACCAAAGGGTAGGCCAAGCATTTGTCACAAAGTGCAGTGGTGTAAAGTCTTTAAGTAAAAATACTTTAAAGTACTACTTAAGTAGTTTTTGGGGTATCTGTACTTTACTTTACTATTGTTAGAAATTGCGTAATTCAAATCTGGTATTGGAATAAGAATCAAACATAATCAAGAGATATTCAATCCAAGCTAAATTTATTATATGCAAAATGTATGTATGATAAGTATGAAGGTTCGTATATACGGGTCCACTGAAATACCACGCAGGGCACTCAGAGAACTAATCCATTGTTACAGGTTCTTCTTCAAATACTCTGACAGAGATATTTCCCACTCCCTGCTGGCCAATCAGAGTCTGAGCGTGGTTTAGACTTACTCAGCCAATCCGTTGGCGCACAGGCTAGTCCCAGCCTCTTGGCGCTCCACCGTTGCACACTGTTGCCAGGCATACGTTTTTATCATAACAACCTGTGGAGTTAGCACCCAAAAAACACCATTCCACTGTACTGTGAGTACCTAGTTCAAGGACGGTTCACAGACAACAGTTCACAGACAACAAAGAGGCAGTGTTCGTATCTGTAAGAAATACAAGTCTTATCTGTCCTACCCCCTAACGTTCCTTACATGAATCACAGCTGGTTATGTGAAACAATTTATATCAGTATAGTACAACCCTATGCTTATCATTAATGCATTCCTTCTAAGCTATTCATCACATACAGATCCAATTATGAGAAAATAGAACCCCACACTATTAATATTTTTGACAACTTTTACTTCCACTACATTCCTAAAGAAAATAATGTACTTTTTACTCCATACATTTCTCTTGACACCCAAAAGTACTCCTTACATTTTTAATGCTTAGCAGGACACGAAGATGGTCCAATTCAGGCACTTAAGAGAACATCCCTGGTCATCCCTTCTTCCTCTGATCTCACTAAACACAAATGCTATGTTTGTAAATTATGTCTGAGTGTTGGAGTGTGCCCCTGGCTATCAGTAAATAAATAAAAAACACGAAAATTGTGCCATCTGGTTTGCTTAGGGACAGATCAAAATGTAGTTGGGGGGAGGGGCTGGTCCAACTAAAAAATAAATGCACCCCCCCTCCCTAAAGTAAAACATATTTTCACATGACCCTCCCCTTGTACTGTAAAATAAATTGAACAACCTCCCCCCTCAGAATTAACTCAAAATAATGTTTACGACCACAAATAACAATAACTGTAGCGACCCTGTGTTTATAAATGTGGATATCGACTTTGCCACTTCAGCATGCTTTTGTGGCACAGTTGATGCCACGCAGGGCTACGGGCCAGAAGGTTCAGGGTTCGCCGACCACCACAGACGAGCTCACTCTCCCCGCCTGTTTCATTACACTACAGTCAGAGCTGGCTGCAGACAATGATCAGCTAGGGGGAAATCAGATGTTCAAAATGTTGATGCCATTTATAATTATATAAAATATATGCAACGAATTCTCCACCAACAGGTTTCTGTGCCAATGCACCACACAACCAATAAACAAAGCATACCGACTTTGGGCACTTGAATATCATGGTTTGCATTTTCAGCACCACAATAGATAGACTATGTCAATCTCGACAAACAGAAAATACATCCCTCCCTACCTTGTAGGCTTACCCAGTATCGAAGGATTGGCTTGACAATCTCCAAATGTCATTAAACTTTTTGGTGTTTTGTAACAGATGTCTAGTTCCATTCATCAATTGGCCGCCACACAGTTTGGATTGATTGATTTATTGATTGATTTTATTTGTCAGTAAAAAAAAAATATATACACAAATAATTTTTTAGGTGACCGGTATTGCACAATAAAGTCAGGGACTTATTTCCATTGTGGTCCCTATTTTTTACATAAATACATATACAATTACATAGATACAGACACATTACAGAGATAGAGATGAAAAAATACTCAACCTCCAGATGAGTATTGGGCGGCAGGTAGCTTAGTGGTTAAGAGTGTTGTGCCAGTAACCGAAAGGTCGCAGGTTCTAATCCCCGAGCCCACTAGGTGAAAAATCTGTCGATGTGCCCTTGAGCAAGGCACTTAACCCTAATTGCTCCTGTAAGTCGCTCTGGATAAGAGCGTCTGCTAAATGACCAATTAATTAATTAAAGTATGAGGGGGGAGTTTAAGTACAATTCTTACAAGCTTGTTTGGCTGGTAGCTTATTCTTTAGATGTTTGGGGCTGCTGGTGAACCATGATGTGCAGGCATAATCAACATTGTAGAATAATAGTGAAGACATCAAACCTATGAAATAACACATATGGAATCATGTAGTAACCAAAAAAGTATTAAACAAATCAAAATATATTTTATATTTTACAGCTTGCTATTAGCAGCTGCCAGCTAGCAGAGAGAACAGTCTATGACTAGGGTGGCTGGAGTCTTTGACAATTTGTAGGGCCTTCCTCTGACACCGCCTGGTATAGAGGTCCTGGATGGCAGGAAGCTTGGCCCCAGTGATGTACTGGGCCGTACATCACTGTCATCACTGTCCCTTAATATAAGGATTTCTTTATGATTTATATACTTTTAGTTTTGATACTTAAGTATATTTTTGCAATTACATTTACTTTTGATACTTAAGTATAGTTCAAACCAAATACTTTTACTCAAGTAGTATTTTACTGGGTGACTCACTTTTACTTGAGTCATTTTCTATTAAGGTACTGTATCTTTACTTTTACTCAACTATGACAATTAGGTACTTTTTCACCACTGACAAAGTGACATTTATTTGACTGAGGTGGAAAACATACAGTATTATCCTGTGTGAGTTAAGTTATGGGTTCATGTTGTCATTCAATTAATATAGTATGTCTTCATCCACAGGGGGGATATGATGACCATGTTGGACAGATTTGGAGGTATTGGGTGTTCCAAAGGATAATCAGATTTACATGACTCTTCTCCACTAGAATAATCTCTAATCTCTCTTTCTATTCTTATATTCCATACTCTGGCCTTGCACACTGATTGGTACAGGGATTGTTTCTCATCACTGAATTTTGCTTTGCATCTATGAGCCTCTTTTTCTCTTTACTGCTAGCGGACATCAACAAAGCCTTCCTGGCAAAACGCAAACGCTTGGAAACGTTCACCAAGTCCTCTGTGAAGACCAGCCATCAGAAGATTGTTCAGTTATGGAGGGTCCAACAAAGAGACAGGTGATTAGACGTGTAGAGTGAAAGGAGGGTGCAAGTGTGTGTGTTGTGTGTGCGTGTATTTGTAACCTGATTTGTATGATGTAAATTCTGCAGGAGTAAAGTGACAGAAGATTACTGCACCCAGTTCAATGCGGTCTTCAACCAGTGGGACACAGATGTGCAGAAGTCCAAGGATAACGAGGAGAAACTACTGGTATTGCTCTGTCAGGCCTCTCAAAAATATTCAACCTATTTCTATTCTATACCTAATACAGAGTTACACTGGAGTAACTAAGGCATCTTTTGGAGCTAAGCATAGGTGTGTGTGTGTGTTCCCGGCCATAGAGTATGTTCCAGCACCAGCAGAAAATGTTTCAGCACATGAGGGCCTCCCAAAGCCAGAGACTGAAGACTCTCAAGCAGCTGCTAGAGCAGTACATCCAGGTATATTCTCTTATCGTAGACTTTGTGATTTTAATGTCCCAGCTGGTTTTCTCATGCCACCTTGTTTCTCCGTGCTGGTAGAGCCTTGATACAATGGAGAAGACCCATGTCAGCCAGCAGGGTGCTGTACAGGGCGAGCTGCGCCAGGAGATGGCACTGTTTCAGAAAAAGATCCTCATGGACACAGTAAGTAAAAGCACAGATCAACTTACTAACACATTGTTTACATGCCTTATGTCACTCTTTGCTTAGCTGAAACGTTGTTAATGATACAAATGTATGTGCCATTTTGAAAATGTGAGTGTACTACGAGCATGAGCACCATGAGAGTGAACCATGAGCATAGTATTTAGAAAATGACTATTCATGATAAATAATTTAGGTCAGATTTCAACAAACAATACATTTTTTATTAACAGCAACAGCAAGAGATGGCTACAGTGCGCAAGTCTCTGCAGACGATGCTGATGTAAATTCTTCAGAATGAAGGGAGCCGATAATAATCAACTCCATTCAAAGGCTTTTTGTGTGTACATATCACTGAGCTGGGTTGTCTGTTCTGCTTTAGTTTATGGCTGTGTTCCAGATAGACCTTCATAATGGCCAGAAAGGTAAAGTGTTATACCTCAAGAACCATATCAACCTTGATCCTTTAATCTGCAAATAACAGTAATGGTTCCAGGGAGATGGGAGTTTTGAAATCTTAACATTTTTAATGGAAGTATGGTGTGTACATGTAACATTGCATTTCTGTTGTCAACTGCTTCATTCAAAAGCTCAAGATTGTGTTAGCTGAGGGTTCCAGACAATGTGTTGAGCTCAAAGACAGATGTCATTCACATTTACGAATTCTTATAATTTCTGTCTTTGTATTTGAGTTCTGGTTTAATGTTAATCGATCTTCATTAAACCCTGATTGAGACGGGGATGGAGATATTAAAATTTTGCTGCTAAAATGTTGTCAGGAATTAAGACCATCTGTTATTGTAAGTATAGAAACATTTATCACAAATAACAGACACTAGGTAGCAACTTACATCTGTGAATATGACATTTTATTTGCATTAGTGAGGGAGAGATTGTCGAGTGATCTTGTTCTTTTGTCGCAACCTATGAACATACTTGTCTGAAAACTAATATACCTGAGCTTGACAGTCTGGCCAAAATAAAACAGTAACAAGAGCGAAAACACAAGCCTTTGCCAGTACAAACACACAGAGATAACATGACCCTCATTTGTTTTAAGAGGCTTGACCATCATACAACAGAAAATAAAACAGAAACTGTGTTTAAGGCAACCTTTTACTTGTCTGAGAATGACTAGTACAATGAGAGCACTGACTTGACATCAGCAACTATACGCACACATTGTTGTATGAGCTCAGTAACTTACAGGCCAACAACATTACACACAGAAATAAAAGTATGTTTTTCATTGAAATTATAGTTTCTATTGATTCTGATGAGTGAATTATAAGCAGACTGCAGGTATAGATGCAAAAATGTAGTACAGACAAATATGATTAGGGCAGAGTCAGAATATTCTTTTTGTTTCACACTAAAGCTCAATTCTCCCAAAACACTTAATTGCTGTATGTGGACCTGGCACAGTGCAGAACGTGCTACACAAAGAAAGTTGTTAGTGTAAAGTTGTTCTTGTGTTAGAAGGTAATTTTAAAAGAAATTAGAAAATAATTAAGTAAACTTAAAACATGTCCTTAGATTCTAGATATGAACACGCTTTGGACAGCCCCACATTAACAGTCAAAATCAACTTTAAACACATTATGTATAGATTAATTTTTTATATGTAGACTAATAAAAAAACATTTAGAAACAGGCCGTAGGACTAAAACCACTAATTGTCATTTAGCTGTGGTTGTCCACATGCTAGTATTGGAGTACTGTAGGTCTTCTTCAGTTAGAGAGAGGTTTCACATCAGGCACACCATTGAACAAACACTAAAAGAAAAACTGCTGGACAGCTGTCAAAACAACGCAGACAACATCTTTAGAATTACTACTTTTTTGGGACAATATCACATCAATACTTTTCTTCATTAAGGGTCATCAATACTTGGCATTTTAGTTTTCGTTGAGCATTTGGAGCAAAATGCAACGCTTCAGTATCTGAAAGGGCAGAGGTGCAACAGGACAAGAACATAAACGGCTACAAAATTGAAAAGCAAGAAAACTGCAGATTAAAAAAATACATATATGTTAAACATTAAACTATAACTTTTTCAAAAGCAATATTAGACAGGATATACAGAATAGTATGCCCAAGACAACCACTAGCAATCCTGCATGTGGTGCTATAAGTGTTGTGTAATGTTTGTGGCTTTGGAGACAAATGCTTGAGCAATTTGAGGGAAGCAAGGCTCGAGACACTATTTGTATCCTTTACAATAATTTGTTTTAAGCCATTGATCGGGGGCACCCTAAAATAACATGTTGTTTACATATGTAATGTTTTACAGAAGCATCATAATTTAAATGCAATCATAATTATTGCAAGGTTAATAACACCACTTATGCAAGATTGATAGATATGCCAGGTGAGGAATTTTGAAATAATAGACAATAGTTAGATATTTATGAAATTGAAAAGTGAGGTTATGCAAATATTACAAAATGATCTACCTATCCATCTATCTATATATAATAAAGACAACACTCCTCCAAAACAAAACTGAAAGCAGACCGACATCCTGTGTAAATGACTTCCTATGCTCTACAGTTCCTTGTAGAGAACGAACAAACACCATCAACACATTAAATGTTTGTTTTAAAGTTCAATAACAAACTTATTAAATGAATAAGGTAGCACCTATTCAAGCCCATTGCAGTCTTCTTGCACTAATTGACCCTCTCTCGCACAGAGGAGAGCACTCAGTACATTTCCTATGTGACCATTCATTGCAGAAAAAGGGACAAATTATTTTTGTCCAGGAATCTGACTACTGTAACACGATTAAATCAACACAAATTGCACAAAGCAGCGATGGAAAATAACTTAATAAACACCTCATTATATTTCATCTATCCCCTTATTCACTTGGTTTGAACCTCTACTGGTAATAGATCCACCCCAACACATTTTAAAAAGGGTAAAGAGAGTGACGACTAGCCATCTAACATGAAGAAAGAAAGGGCAGAGAGAGAAAGAGGGGGGGGAGAAGAGAGCGCGAAAGAGTGTAATGGCGTCCGTGTCCTCACTGAAGGGTGGAGGGGGTCAGTGGCTTGATTCTGAAGACAAAGATGTGAAGATGGGAGGCGATCTGGTTGCAAACACTGACACAGTAACGCACCAAGTCAACGAAAGACAGGATCTGCAGACGGAAAGCGGAAGAGGAGACAATGAAGAGTCAGAAAACAAGATAACTTGATCGACATAACTGTACATAATGGACCCTGTGAGTAGATGGATGGATGATGCCAAAGTATGAAAGGGTTTTGCTATTAGTTACAAATAAACGCGGCATTAGACTGAAAACATGCCTCTGAAAAACACACAGTAAGTCAGTGTTGCATGTGAAATGACTGATGGTTCATTTAAAAAAGATAAATGTTCATGTGAACACATGCTGTAGATTGCATGCCCTCTTACATTGTTGTGGAATGACTTCACCCTGGCCTTGCTCAGGTACTATGGACCTCTATACCATGGAAGTGTGTGTGTGTACTCACCATTGCAATCCACAGCACCAGGTATTCATCAATAAAACTGTTGAAATACTGGTCCAGGAACAGCAGGCCTGGCCCCAGGAATGCTATATCATGTAGATGCATCTCACTCTTTGTCATATGTGCTACCTGAAACAAACAAGACAAAGGCAAGAGTCGTGGTTTAAATCAGCAAGCACATTAACATTGATGACATTCATTAAATTCATACACATTCTTCCATCAAGCACATTTACATCAACAGAACAATGTTCAGGGTGGACAGGTATTGCATTACACCAATAAGCAGCACACCACACTTACAACTAATTTGTTGGTGATCTTGGCCGACACGAAGCCAAAGGCCAGGATATAAACACAGGGGTGCTTCTCAAAGAGCTGGATAGCTGACTTCTTATAGATCATCATGGCCAGGATTATTACAGAGCCTATATGTAACACAGGAGACAGGACACTGGTTCCCTGGAGAGGAGAGAGAAAGAAGAGTCCAAATCAGTGGACATTATTAATAGGCCTAGATGATATGCGAGTGCCATGTGAGTGCAGCTAGGTGAAAGAAAACACACAGTAAGGAATGCTGGTGTGTACAACCAGGTGTTAAGTCATAATATACAGTAAGTCCCCCAAAGGAAAACAATTGTGGCCCCGCCTAAAATAAATATTTCCAAGTGACAAACACTCATATCGCTCGGCCAACTGAATTGAGATCAGGTCCAACAGTCTTAATACACATCCTTAATTTCCTCAGAAGATAATAGACAGCTCATGGCAAATGGATGAAACAGGCAAACAAGCATGTAGGCATCAAGCCAGCATCATCACCTAGAAAGTAGATTGTCATAGACTTCATAGTAATTGTAAACTACATTGTGTCACCGTTGGTAAACATTTATTTGGGGAAATTCTCCCTAGGCATTTCTGTAGATCTTAAAACGGACTGGATGGATGTGAGCAATACATCAAAAGAATACACAGAGACCATCAGAGGGAAAGGTGGGGACTACCATTTTGCTTAGGCCTATTCAGTTCTTTATGAAGGTCAGGGACAAGGCTACAAGCCGATTGTAGACTTACTGCTATTGTGGATCCATTTTTGCCCACACCTCCGGTAAATATAACCCGGAAGTAATTAGTACAGGAAAAGATAGCCCCTAAGAAAGTGCAGATGGCTGGAACTATTTTCATCTGTATGTTTATGACTGGGATCTGTGGAGGTGAGAGAGCAATATATAAATGTATTACAAACAACCAGTCAACACCATCAGTGTTCAGTACATTTCACAACTCTAAACATTGTTGTTAGATGGTTAATTTCATTCAAAAAACAATTTCATTACTCTGTTTAATATAGTAAGGAATCACACTGTACACAGAATTAGAACGTAGCAATGCGGGCAGCGCGACCATTATATTACCAGTGTTACTGTTTCATCATTCAGTTATGCCATTCATTTCAGTTACCAAAAGGCAATCAGTGGAAATTTGAGCCAATCAGAATTACCAGTGACTGCCAAAAAGCGGATCCTCCCACGGCGGCCAACAAATACATGATTATAATGAAGATTTGCACCTCAGTCACATCAATGCTGAGAGGAGCAGGCAGAGAGCAAGAGGTTAGTCAGAACAGTCATCAACACTGTCCATAAGCACAGCGCTGCACTACAGTGTCTTCACCCAAACACTAACCACAGCTCTCCCAGTCAAAGATGTCAATCATGATGCACTTATGGCAAACATACAGTACCAGTCAAAGGTTTGGACACACCTACTCATTCAATGGTTTTTCTTTATTTTTACTATTTTCTACATTGTATAATAATAGTGAAGACATCAAAACTATGAAATAACACATATGGAATCATATAGTAACCAAAAAAATTGTTAAACAAATCAAAATATATTTTATATTTGAGATTCTTCAAATAGCCACCTTTTGCCTTGATGACAGCTTTGCACACTCTTGGCATTCTCTCAACCAGCTTCACCTGGAATGCTTTTCCAACAGTTTTGAAGGTGTTCCCACATATGCTGAGCACTTGTTGGCTGCTTTTCCTTCACTCTGCGGTCCAACTCATCCCAAACCATCTCAATTGGGTTGAGGTCGGGGGATTGTGGAGGCCAGGTCATCTGATGCAGCAGTCCATCACTCTCCTTCTTGGTAAAATAGCTCTTACACATCCTGGAGGTGTGTTGGGTCATTGTCCTGTTGAAAAACAAATGATGGGATTGTGTATCGCTGTGGTAGCCATGCTGGTTAAGTGTGCCTTGAATTCTAAATAAATCACAGACAGTGTCACCAGCAAAGATCCCCCACACCATCACACCTCCTCCTCCATGCTTCACGGTGGAAACCACACTGGCAGAGATAATCCGTTCACCTACTCTGCATCTTACAAAGACACAGCGGTTGGAACCAAAAATCTCAAATTTGGACTCATCAGACCAAAGGACAGATTTCCACCGGTCTAATGTCCATTGCTTGTGTTTCTTGGCCCAAGCAAGTCTCTTCTTCTTGTTGGTGTCCTTTAGTAGTCGTTTCTTTGCAGCAATTCGACCATGAAGGCCTGATTCACGCAGTCTCCTCTGAACAGTTGATGTTGAGATGTGTCTGTTACTTGAACTCTGTGAAGCATTTTTGGTCTGCAATCTGAGGTGCAGTTAACTCTAATGAACTTACCCTTTGCAGCAGAGGTAACTCTGGGTCTTCCTTTCCTGTGGCGGTCCTCACGAGAGGCAGTTTCATCATAGCGCTTGATGGTTTTTGCGACTGCACTTGAAGAAACTTTCAAAGTTCTTTACATTTTCAGGATTGACAGACCTTCATGTCTTAAAGTAATGATGGACTGTAGTTTCTCTTTGCTTATTTGAGCTGTTCTTGCCATAATATGGACTTGGTCTTTTACCAAATAGGGCTATCTTCTGTATACCACCCCTACCTTGTCACAACACAACTGATTGGCTCAAACGCATTAAGAAGGAAAGAAATTCCACAAATTAACAAGGCATACCTGTTAATTGAAATGCATTCCAGGTGACTACCTCATGAAGCTGGTTGAGAGAATGCCAAGAGTGTGCAAAGCTGACATCAAGGCAAAGGGTGGCTACTTTGAAGAATCTCAAATATATTTTGAGTTGTTTAACACTTTTTTGGTTACTACATGATTCCATATGTGTGTTATTTCATAGTTTTGATGTCTTCACTATTATTCTACAATGTAGAAAATAGTAAAAATAAATAAAGACCCTGGACTGAGTAGGTGTATCCAAACTTTTGACTTGTACTGTATACACTGAGTTTACAAAACATTAAGGACACCTGCTCTTTCCATGACATAGTATGATTCCCTGATGAAGGTTAAATAAAAAATAGACTGACCAGATGAATCCAGGTGAAAGATATGATCCCTTATTGATGTCACTTGATAAATCCACTTCAAAGTCAGTGTAGATGAAGGGGAGGAGACAGGTTAAAGAAGGATGTATAAGCCTTGAGACATGGATTGTGTATGTGTGCCATTCAGAGGGTGAATGGGCAAGACAAAATATAAGTGCCTTTGAACGGGGTATGGTAGTAGGTGCCAGGCACACCAGTTTGTGTCAAGAACTGCAACACTGCTGGGTTTTTCACCCTCAACAGTTTCCCATGTGTATCAAGAATGGTCCACCACTCAAAGAACATCCAGCAAACTTGACACAATTGTGGGAAGCATTGGAGTCAACATGGGCCAGCATCCCTGTGGAACGGATTCGACACCTTGTAGAGTCCATGCCCCGATGAATTGAGGCTTTTCCGAGGGCAAAAGTGAAAGGGGTGCAACTCAGTATTAGGAAGGTGTTCATAATGTTTTGTACACTCAGTGTATGTTTTGGCATTCTTTCAGTAGCATGGATCTGGTCCGTTTCTACTCATGAAATGGTTTGTTTTCAGACCAGACAAGTGCAAAGATTTCCTCCCTCCCATTAGCTGGTGGCTAGAGGTCAGTGTGTGGGGAAGCAGGGATCTAATTGGCTGAGGCTCACTGCACATCTGTCAGGCCAAGATGCTGTCCGTCAGAGATTTACCGTCACGTTCCACAGGAAGGGGCCTACAGTGGCTGTCAGCATCTGTAACAGCGCTAGACAGATCTGTAACTCTGTAATGTCAAATCTACACACACAGAACATTTTTCAAAATGCACTCCACTTTGACAACAAATGATCTAAATACTTTATCATACGGATGCTTACACACACACATTTTAGAAACCTTTTCCTGTGACCTCGGATCACAAGGTAAACTTGAGTTCAGACAGCATTAAACACAATAGAGTGTGACTACTTAGGAACTAGCATAGTGTTCCCCAATGGAGACATTAAAGATGCAGTCCGGGATCTTAAGCACTTACAAATTCGTAACATATTGTACGAATTGGAATTCGTAACGTATCATACTACGTCATGGATGACATAGTACACCATTTTCGGGGACCCATTTTGGCTCATGAGCACTACTTTCAAAACTACTGGCTGAAATTATACAAAAGCTTAGTAAGTAGCCAACTAGTAAGTAAGTAGCCAACTAGTAAGTAGCCTAACTATCCAGCTGAGGCCATGGGGGACCACTCTTTGACCCACAATCTGGGAATGCCCTTGAGAACACCTGACGCTCTTAGCTACACTAGAACATGCAGGGTAGATCCTATCCTTCGCCATTCCTTCTAACCCATCACTTACCTCTCCCTTAATTCCCCATATCCACTCCCTCACCTACTACCAGCATCACTCTACTTCTCTAAACCCACTCTTCTCCCTCCTCCCCACTCCCACTGTTGCCAACTCACTCTTCTATAAATGCAGACACACTCACATGCCGAAGCGCAGGGTGCCGGAGACATAGGTCTGCCAATGGGCACAGTAGAACATGAACATGCCAGCGAAACAGCAGAAAAACATCCAGTCAGGGTTGGTGCCCAGCTGCACTGCTATACTGGTGCCCAGGACCACAAACACTGAGAGAGAGAGTGAGAGAGAGAGGAAATGGAAACAGAGTCAATTAAATCCTAATAAGGCAAACAAACTTATATGGAACACACACACACACACAGAGGGGCAGCTGTACCTGTGGAGAGGGAGTCACAGCCGTGGTCAAACAGTTCACCCAGCGGAGAGCTGCTATTAGTTCGTCTGGCCTGCTTCCCATCAATGGCATCCAATGATTGGTACACAAACAGGCCCACCGCACACAGCAGATATGCCCACAGAGGTGCCTGAAGAAAAAGGACGACACCAAATTGGGTGACTTAATGAACACTTTAAAAAATACCTTCCTTCCTCCCAATGGATTTATTTTTGGGTTATGATAGGGTAATCTCACAAGGCATTTATAAGTTGTGTTCTTAGAGAATCAGTGGGTATTATCATAAATAGAGCCTCATCTGACATAAAACGTGATCTTCTGGCAGCTATAGGCTACTGCTACACAAAGGAGAGATGTTTGAACTTGAGTAAAAGAGGTTGATGTGTGGTTTGTTTCCCTCTAAATAGTTTTGGAACAGAGCAGGGCTTTGTCCTTCATTAGTCAACCAGCATGGAGAGAGTTTCACAGCGTCATCAGTGTTGCATGCCATCATTTCCTGTCCCTTCTCACTGGGTCTACGATGAGCTGACAGCAGTTTATACACCAACCAAACCAAGGAATATGGCACGTCCTGGCCTACAACTTAGAGGCTTGCCAAAATGGCATTCATATAAATAACCCTGTTATTGCAGAGCAGCTCATAGCCTCACACATTAAGCTTTTTATTAATTCAGGCCCAAGGGCCAAAAACAGGGATTTGGGGAGTGGGAGAGAAGTAAGGGGGTTATGAAAGAGGACTTGGCTTTTAGTGCCAAGGGGTTGGCATGGGGATGTTGAAAAGTAGAGCAGGGTGGAAATATCTGCTGACTGCCTCTGTGTTCTCAGTGAACATATGATTATGAATTGAATAATCATTCAATCATTCAGGGCTGTGAAACTAAGAGGCCCTAGAGCAAGTGTACTTTCTGTTCAAACACGACACAGTGACAAACTCAGCCCGGAGAACACCCTGTATCAGCTGCACTGTTTACTCATAAAACACTAATACACCCACGGGGCAGGTTGTCTTAAACACTCCTGACCTGGGCCATCAGAAACAGGACACTGACTAGTCCAGCATGTTAAGTAAATACCAACTTCTCTGGGCTATGAAACAGTGCTGCCACTAATGTTTTAGCACTTTAACTATCACACCTCCAACCTGTTAACATAATTATCACCCGTTATGTCAGGTGTTGCTTACAACAATGAGTATGGATATTATAAAAGGCATTGTGACATAGAGATTCTCCCTCCAGAACTAGTACCATACCCAGCTTGTTTTCACTGTGATAAACTCAACTGAATTCTCTCTAGTCTAGCGAGTCCAGCAAATGACATTCTCTGTTTTGCCCTCCTCCATTGCTCCACATTGTGAGCAAATATGCGCGCAGAGTGATTTCTCAACCTTTGTCCTACAAAGGAAACAGAGGAGAGGGTAGAGAACTTCAGAGACAGAGCTCTATTTAAAGAAGGGGAAAACAAGTCACGCTCGTCATCAAATCCTGTAGATCTTCCGAATTACAACTACTCTAACCCACCTTTTAGTTGCCGACAGTTGAAGCTGTGGCCTGTTTAGCAGCACAGGGGAAGTCAGGTGACACAGCAGTGCTCTTCAAATCTGCCTCCTGGAGACCCACAGGGGGTACAGGCTTTTGTTCCAGCCCAGCACTAACACACTGGATTCAACTAATCAACTAATTATCAAGCCCTTGATTAATTCAATAAAGTTTGATACTGCTGGGCTGGAACAGAAGCCTGCACCCCCTGTGGGTCCCAGGGCCAGGATGAAAGAACACCTGCATTAAAGAGACTCCTAAGATGAGAACATGTTGTTTTGCCTTGCGGATAATGCTTGATCTACTTTTCAAAGTTATTTGTGGATTAAATTCAAACGGTTAAATATGCAGTCAGCTGCTAGCTGGAATTGTAGGGATAATAAACATGTTGTTTTCTTCCATGGTTAGACCGGCTTCTATAACAAATAAGTAGATTATATAAGTTAATGTTTACAGTGACTAAGTCTGTTTTTGTGAGCCTCATACACTTGGCTCATGTGCAATTCCACGGTAACAGAATGAATGTGATATGTTTGTGCCGTCATTCTGTTACCAAACTTTGCATCTGCACTATTCTTCAAGTAAATGCGTTTTTGTAAAATGTTCAGTGGAAATTGTTTACTAGTAGTTCTTGTGCATAGAGTTGCATGGTTTGTTTAACTTTGCAATCATTGGTTTTTGTTTGGCTTACATTTTAAAGTGAAAAAGCTGAGTCTCAGCATCATTCTGTTACCATGGAATTTCCCTCATACACTGGTGTTGTGGACTTGTAGGAAAACAGCCAGAGCTGAACAAACAACGCACATGGTGGTTTATAGATGCGGTAAAGAGGTCAATTAAACTCGACCAAAACAATGGAATTGCCATGGAAACGCTTGGGGGAAAGGGCCGTGGGGGAAAGATCCCAAATCTCCCCATTACCCCCCAGCAAAATGGGCCTGCGTTTAGGATATTGTTTATGTGTGCATTTTATACTATGTTGAGGTAGAAATCAGAGTATAAAGCTTGTATGGATGTCAACCCCAACAGATGTTCATGTCATGGTCATTAAATCAACTGCATTACAATTAACTACTGACTACCACCACCGATTTCTGTATGCTAGCTATGCTACCAGCTTATACAAAGGGGAATTAGCATTTAGCAGTCACTTCTTCTAAACCTGAAAAGGGGACAACTTCTACATGTTATGCAGCGAAAACAGCCAAATCGGACTTAAATAACCACATTGTGGGCCTGTTACAATACATAAATCATGACGGGTTTGACGAATACCCACTTTGTTAGATCATATTTGTTGAATGTACGCCAATCTGGTCAATAGAACGTCCATTGACTCTTACCGCATCTATAGACAAACAAAATGCATTATATCGCATTAGGCTGTTTTGTATGCCTCTTAGTTTGAATGTAATCTAATTGTATGTACATTAAAGTCTGATATCATAAATTAAATTCCCTTATGGAAAGACAAAGTTATCGTAGGTTTTCAGTTCTAGATGGAAACGACTAAGCTTAACAGTTTGCATGTTTTGCTGTCTCCTCTCTATTCCCAGTCCTTAGTGTGCACTCATCTCTGCAGTGCTGTGGTGTGTGTGCCGGGGAAGGGGAATGGGGCCTGGGTATCAGGTGCAGACTAGCTGTAACCTGAGAGCTATGGGCACGGGATGTTCATCCAGAACAGAAAGCCTGAGCTATTCCAAACTCTCAACAGCACAGAGATGGTAAACAAACAAACAGCCAGACAAACTGACCATAGAAACCATTGCTAACAGAAAACACATTCACAGAACCTTGAGACAAAATAACTGATGGAAGGGAGAATGCTTGCTAGAGTAAAAAAAACAATGCATATGTTATAGGAAGTATGAACCCCTGGTAATGTTGTATTGAATGTTTGTTTGTAGCTTTAGAGATCAACATAAAAGGTGTTTTCAAACATCTGAGCAACACTGTAGCTGCACTGTTCAATCATCTGACTGTCTACAATGACAACTTTATTTCAGTCTACCCGGACAGGTAAATACAATACGGTAGCACTTTACTTGAACCCTCCAACCATACCTGTCCAATGGCACTAAGCCAGGCAGTGTATAACCAACCTGTTCAGTGGCTGTGGGGCAGGACAATAGTACGTACAACTCGGTCCTCTGGACCCCAAGGTTTTTGCCCTAGCACTACACAGCTGATTCAAATAATCAACTAATCATCAAGCTTTGATAATTTGAATCAGCTGTGCAGTGTTAGGGCAAAAACCAAAACGTGCACCCCTTGGGGTCCCGAGGACTGTGTTTGGGAAATGCTGACATACACCCTACCTGAATAGGTGCTGTATTGTTGCCATTGTTACCTGTTCAGTGGCGGTGGGACAGTAGTAGACCAGCACCAGGGTGGTGAATACGTTGGTGGCCAGACCCACGATGGTGATGAGGTTGGGGGCGATCCAGGCGGGCACACGGCCCACCAGCCACTCCCAGTAACGCTGCATCAGAGGCTCCAGCAGGGAGCGACCTGTACTGCTGTACCTGTAGAGAGGGAACCAGGACCCCATAACGAGACAGTAGGAACTAGAATCAATCAACCAGATTTAACACAATTGAAGCATTTTTCATCCTAAAGTGTTTGATGTAACACTAAGTACAAAACACATACTGTGTGATCATCACGTCAAAGCTAAATAAGGATATGATTGATCTTAGGTTTTACTATGACAGTACCTGTGTTCCTCCAGTCTCTTCAGCTGTTGGCGGTCGAGCGGGGGAGTGGGCAGCTCAATCAGCCTGCGCAGGGCTCCAGGGGCCAGCCAGCAGGCCGCCTCCATGCCCACACCCTGCCCAGGATCCCTCTCCTTGACTGGCCCTCGGCGTGTCCGAACACCCCCCTGCTGCTGCTGGTACCCAGTGGTGCTCATGGCCCTGCTAGCACGGGGCCCTCTGCCTCAGGCTGCCTCAGCCTCTGGCTCTGCCTCCCCCACCACTCGCTGGGGCTGGGGATCCACAATGGAGTTGCACACTGATGGGTGGAAGAGGAGAGAACAGGTAATGTGATGTGAGGTTGGCTCACATGAAGGCTAGGTGCTGAAATGGGTCTTGGAGTTTAGTTGGCTCTAGTACTCATCTCTCACCAGCTGCTTCTTTAACTGTTTTATTTAACTAATTTCATCTCATACAAGTTCTCACTTGAGTGAAAGTAAAAGAAAGGATGTGGTGGGTGGGATGGCTAGAAAAAGAGTTGAGAATGAAAGAGAATAAGAATTAACCATAGCCCGGCTTGACTCTACACAGGGGTCCTATCTATTGCACACACCTTCCTGTTCACCCAGTTCTGAGTTATAAAACACTGTTCAGCCACACCCCTAAAGACGCAATGGGGCAGGATATGGCAGGTCCTGCCCTCACAATCCACTAAACACGAGGCTTCCCAAACAAATCTTAGCCACTGAGAAGTCCATATCATCAGAGTCACCATATGCAAACAGTAACCAAAGAAATTCCTCTACAACAGTGGTGCCTAAACTTGGTCAGACCCTTTTCTTGTGACCCCACCGACCAAACCAATGTTTGGCCAATGTTGCAGACCTTGTTTATAGCAAAGCAACAAATGTATCAATGATGCAGAAACAGTCAGTCAGTCAGACCCCCAGGTCATTCAAGGCCACCAGGCTTAACTAGTTTCCACTTGTAGCACCATCATAAAAGTATTGCAAAGTAACTGAGTTTGATACTGACATCAATGAATATCGAAGACAAAGGGGAGATCAATGGGAATGGATAGCAAACATATGAAATACAAATGTGCTGCGACACTGCCTCTGAAACCTGTCTGTCTAAGCAGTCCCACTGTAAATGACAGGCAGTCTGGAACAGTGACGTCCCGGCCAACTAGCTAGCTAGCTGGCTGGCTGGCTAACAGCACTTGCAAATGCCAACATGACACATAGTTAGCTCATGATACCTATCACTCGATGAAATTACAACGTAGCTAACCGCCGATGTTTCCTTCACCGATCTCACAAAAAAAACTAGCTTTCTTGCTAGTTAACGTTAGTTAACAGTAGGATATCAGCTTGCCAAGGAGCCGCTGACCTGGCTAGTAAAGAGGGCAGGGTGTCCGACGGTCGAGGCACTTCACAGTGCGTCGAATGACTCCTTGGTAGGGTTGTAGCAGCAGTCTTCCCGTTTACGGTGTAGAAAAGGTGCGACTACCCTCGGCGAGCGTTATTGCAGGTAGGAACAACAACACGTCGGGTCCCGCTAACGGTTCTTCTTTAAGTTTTATCGGCGAATCGCAACCAACTGACAGGTGCATACACCGCCACCTACTGTACTGGAGTGTGAGGCCAGTCACGACCTATCTATACCACTATATTCTCTTAACTACCCTGAATTTCTAATAAAATAAAATAAATTCCCTACAAACTTCACTACTCCCATCACCCCCACCCAAAATCCTTCCCGTCCAACAACATAATTGATCCACTATTGTTCCTACATTATCTTCTTCACACCACTGTTTATTTTCTTCTATCAGGCTAAGATCAACATGTGGTCTAAAACCACGGTGGCACATTTCCTATTGCCACAGATGGCCCTATGACAATATCTCTGAGTCCATATTCATCAACCCTAATCTCTGGGCAAAAACCACTCTTTTGATATCGTTCATATTCCCAGCAGTCTTCCAAAACAGTCAGTATAGGATGATCTACCGTACTACCCTTCAGTCTTGCCCAGTATGCCAGAGCTAGCTTAACTCATTTAAGGGATAGTGGCATTTCCCCAGTATCTACTTGTAAACCCTCAACCGGTATAGTTTTAAATGCACCATCGCACATCCTGAGTGCCCTTGTTAGCATCCTATCAAGGCGCAACAGCGATGTAAAACCATATACAAAGCACCCATAATCTATGGACGATCTCATCAAAGTACGATACATATTCAGTAAAGATTGCCTATCTGCCCCCCAATCATGCCCAATTATTGTCCTCATAAGTTTTAATATTTTCTTACATTTAGTCTCAAAACATTTAATATGACATCTTCATGTAAGCTTTTCATCAAACCATAGCCCCAAATACTTAATTCTGTTACCCTTTCCATTCATTCTCCATATAATTGAACACTGACATCTTCCTTAATCTTTTTGTTAGCGAACAACATTTGGCAATATTTAGATAACGATAACTTGAAACAACAACATTTTCTCTATTACATGAGGAATATTCCTTCTTCTTTTCCAAATGGCACCATCATCTGCATATAACACTGCCCCTATACCCTGTCCGTTATCCCCAAAGATATAATCAATCGTCAAGGTGAATAAGATAGGACTAATAGCACTACCCTGTGGTGTTCCATTTTCCACCTCATATTATTTTGATACCTTCCAGGTCAGGAGGAGTTTAGAGTTTCGGTCAAACAAGAAATCCATAATCCAGTTATACATTCTCCCACTAATACCCATTCCCTTCAATTTAATCTGTAGACCTTCCCGCCACATTGTATCATATGCCTTTTCAATATCAAAATATACTATTGACATCAGTTCCTTCATTGCCAAAGCTTTGGTCACCTCAGTACTAACTTTAACTAATGCATCAAGGGTAGTCCTTCCTTTTCTGAATCCACTCTGGTATGGACTTAATAGACCCCTATGTTCCAGATAATACATTAATCTTCCTACAATCAACTTTTCCATTCATTTAAAGAGATTTAATGTACGTGCAATAGGTCTATAACTAGCAGGACTGGATGGATCTTTACCAGGCTTCACAAAAGGCAAAACCATAGCACTTTTCCATCCGGATGATAGCACCCCTGTCCTCCATATTTTGTTAAATAAACTCAAAATCTTTCACAAAACTTCTGTAGGCAGATGTTTAAACATAATGTAGCATAATCACTCCTCACCTGGAGCAGTGCAACCACACCCCTCCAAAGCCCTCGTTATTTCAAACATGGTGAATTCAGCATCCACTGATTCTCCAGAATCACACATCTTACGCTATACATCTTCATGCATTCTTAGTTTTTCTTCCTTGCATAATTTACATTCATCACTTAGACTGTCAACTTTATGCACTGCTGCAAAAGCTCTTCCTAGAGTGTCTGCTTTTTCTTTGTTAGAAACAGCCATAACATCTTTCTCAGCTAACACAGGTATCTGTAATGTCTTTCCTTTCCCCATCATCCTCTTTAACATTTTCCACACATCCCCCAGTTGTTTCCCTTCCTATAGAAGAACATAATTCCTGCCATGCACCTTTCTTTGCATTCTTAATGACTTTCCTAGCCAACGCTCTCTTTCTCTTCAATTTAAGCCTACTAGAAAGTGTGTGCCCTCAGGCCTGGAGGGAAGCAAAAGTTATTCCCCTACCTAAGAATAGTAAAGCCCCCTTAACTGGCTCAAATAGCTGACCAATCAGCCTGTTACCAACCCTTAGTAAACTTCTGGAAAAAATTGTGTTTGACTAGATAAAATGCTATTTTACAGCACGCTTATAGGGAAGGACATTCAACAAGCACAGCACTTATACAAATGACTGATGATTGGCTGAGAGAAATTGATGACAAAAATATTGTGGGGGCTGTTTTCTTAGACTTTAGCGTGGCTTTTGACATTATCGATCATAGTCTGTTGCTGGAAAAACATATGTGTTATGGCTTTACTCCCCCTGCTATATTGTGGATCAAGAGTTACCTGTCTAACAGAACACAGAGGGTGTTCTTTAATGGAAGCCTCTCCAACAAAATCCAGGTAGAATCAGGAATTCCCCAGGGCAGCTGTCTAGGCCCCTTACTTTTTTCAATCTTTACTAACGACATGCCACTGGCTTTGAGTAAAGCCAGTGTGTCTATGTATGCGGATGACTCAACACTATACACGTCAGCTACCACAGCGACTGAAATGACAGCAACACTTAACAAAGAGTTGCAGTTCGTTTCAGAATGGGTGGCAAGGAATATGTCAGTCCTAAATACTTCAACAACTAAAAGCATTGTATTTGGGACAAATCATTTACTAAATGTAATGAATAATGTGGAAATTGAGCAAGTTGAGGAGACTAAATTGCTTGCAGTAACCTTGGATTGTAAACTGTCATGGTCAAAACATATTCATACAACAGTAGCTAGGATGGGGAGAAGTCTGTCTATAATAAAGCGCTGCTCTGCATTCTTAACAGCACTATCAACAAGGCAGGTCCTACAGGCCCTAGTTTTGTCGGACCTGGACTACTGTTCAGTTGTGTGGTCAGGTGCCACAAAGAGGGAAAATTGCAATTGGCTCAGAACAGGGCAGCACGGCTGGCCCTTGGATGTACACAGAGAGCTAATATTAATAATATGCATGTCAATCTCTCCTGGCTCAAAGTGGAGGAGAGATTGACTTCATCACTACTTGTATTTGTGTGAGGTATTGACATGTTGAATGAACCCATGCATACCCCACAAGACATGCCACCAGAGGTCTCTTCACAGTCCCCAAGTCAAGAACAGACCATGGGAGGCGCATAGTACTACATATAGAGCCATGACTACACAGAACTCTATTCCACATCAAGTAACTCATGCCAGCAATAAAATTATATTTAAAAAACAGATAAAAATACACCTTATGGAACAGCGGGGACTGTGAAGCAACACAAACATTGGTGTCCTCCTCCATTGCTGGTATATGTGAGTGGGATGTGATGATAGAATCAACAATAGGCAGTGATCATTTTCATGTCATGTGGAACATACAGTGGGGGAAAAAAGTATTTAGTCAGCCACCAATTGTGCAAGTTCTCCCACTTAAAAAGATGAGAGAGGCCTGTCATTTTCATCATAGGTACACGTCAACTATGACAGACAAATTGAGAAAAAGAAATCCAGAAAATCACATTGTAGGATTTTTAATGAATTTATTTG